AAAAAAAAAAAAAAAAAAAAAGAAATAAAGAAAGAAAAGAAACAAAGGAACCTGGGTCTTCCGAAGAGCAGGAAGAGTTCTGCATTGCCAAATCAACTCTCCAGCCTCCTTTCCTCCTCTGAAGTCCTGTCTGTATGTCTTATGCCAAAACAGCACATCCTATGCAGGCCTGAGTTTGTGTCCCTTTGTGTTCAAGTCTCTCATCTCAGAGCAGAGAAGACTACGTAGGAATGGCAACGTCCTCACTTTCTGTGTTTTCCACGTTTACAGGAGGCTCAAGCTAATCAATACCTTTCCAAGTACAGGAAGCAGCAGCATGAGCTGAAGGAAGTCAAGGAGAGGGCAGAGGTAGCAGAATCTCAAGTCAATAAGCTCAAAGCCAAGGTGAAGGAGTTTGAAAAAAAGGTACAGTCCACTCTGAAATGCCTTACAGCTTGCTGCTTTGGGGCTCATGACATTGCATGGATTAGTACAGCAAGAAATGTCTTGTTTTTCTCTTCAAATCTTTTTTAAAAAAACAGCCAAACAAGCTAAAATAAATTCTTTCCCTGTTTACTAATTTCTAGTTGTCCAGGTAAGATAGCACCGCTAAGCACTGGAGTTGGAAAAACATCCTAGTTTTATTTTTCAAATGTTTCATCCCAGGTTAACTTGTAAGCTCTGAGCCTCAGACCTTTAATTCATTTGTGCAGAATACAAACGGACCTTGAAATTTGGAGTGAATTCTTTTCATAGTAGACAAGCTCATGACTCTTGCATCAGAGTCAAAACGGAGACCTAGGGGAGAAGGTCAAACGTGAGCCAGGAAATGATAGTAAATTGTGGAGTCCTGCTTTCAACGTCTCAGGATTCAACTTCTGAGTTTTCCCCAAAGCACAGAAACATTTCCCCACGTCTCTGTGGTTAGTTGAACAGCCACTGGAACATAGTAGTGGCAGCCAGTCTTCATTGTCACTGGAAGAATGAATGACAGTGAACTCAGCAATGGATGCTGGGCAGGGCCAAAGAGTCTCTGCTTCCTTGCTCAGTTTTCCTTGAAACACAGTTTTTAAGTTACATCTGGCTTTAGGAGAAGGGAATTAAAAGAAATTGGATAATATAGCAGCTACCTTTTCTAAAATGTCTGAAAAGCAGTTAGCACAGTGCCCAGCACAGATGGCACCCTCCATTCATTTTCAACAACTGGTGCACGTCGAGCCTTCTCATTTCTGGTAAATGAATTACTAGTAGTCCCATGAGGTAGGCTGATAGGATTGCCAATAATAAATATCGACCTTGTTGAAGGAGGCTAAAAGTTGGCTACACAGAAGACGCTGCAATCTAAGAATGAGAAGCTTGAGGCCTTGGCAGCTCCAGAGAGTTCTCATTGCTGCCTCAACAGCTGTCTCAAGGTTAAGCCCCAATTGGAGAGCTCTAGCGGAGTGGCTTGAATGCTGGCCTCAGTCAGAGAAGGGTTACCCCACTGACTGAGGGTGTCCTGTGCAGAGTCCGCCCAGCAAGAGCATATAAAGGATTTGCTAAGGCAGGCGCCTCCTGTGTGCTGCAATTGTACTGGGCTGCAGGAGGTCGCAGGGTCTCCACAGTACATCCCTGCATTTCACCTTGTCATGGTTGTGTCCATGAGTGAATAAAAACAAGCGAAGTCGAAATTGCTTCTGGACAGGAGATGAACAGGAAAACCTGGCTGGGCAGTGTGATGACTAATTGCTCCCCATTCACAGAAGAAAAGCCTAAAATCCTTCAACTGTCATAAATACAGGGAAAGGGTTTCCTGATGTAATTGTGTGTCAGGGGCAAAGTAGTGAGTGGTTGAAGAATCTTTTCCCCATGTGGGGAGGGGAGGCAGAGATGGAGAGTGACAGAGCATTTCCTTGGGGTGAGTCCTGCTCTGCAAGACAGCTAATTGCCTCAATTCCTTGCCTCCCTTTGAAGCCCAGGGAGAGCTGCTTTAGGTCAGCTCCCCTCTGGAAGGAGCTCACATGGGTCTGGGTGTGCTCCACTACTCAAAGTCTCTGGAATTGTATAAAACACACTGACATACATTCTATTTTCCAGGTTCGAGAAGAATAAGAAGTTTCTTTTTATAAAAAGACAACAGCTGAAAGAAAGCCCTTAAGAAATAAACATTTATGTGGCGTGAAAAGCCATTTAAAAAGACGATGAGCAAAATGTACTGATCCAAGGAATTGCTCCTTGAATTAATGGATGGATTTTTGATTCTCAATGTCAAGAGACTTTTCTTCTAAAATTTTACTCAAGAATCAATTTTGATGTTAGAAAAGAAGGCACATTTATTCTTTCTTCTGTATCTTCATGCACAGAACTCATAGAAGAAATCCTTAGACTATGATCCATGGAATTAGTACATGATGGGAATGATTTTTTTGAATTTATCTAACTTTGCTTGAGTCATGCCTGTATCTTGATGACAACTGACAACATTTTCCTTAGTACTGTGAGGCAGGCATTGTTGTAGTTAGGCCCTTTGTATCTGTAGGTAAACCTTCCTAATCAAAACACAATTAGACTACATGCCTGTGTAGACTATAACCACAAAGCTACTGCTTCCTGTCAGTGGGAGGGTTGTACAGGCTCTGGGTTATGGCCAAGGAGCTAAGCAAGAGGGAGGGGTATGTTCGAGAATTTCTTTCCTTGGGTGACTCTAGACTAAAGTTGGGCACTAGCAAAAGTCCATAGCAGATTTAGCAGGTAAAAATGGAGGAGTTTCTATTTTATGTGCATAAGGTCAGCATACAATCTCAAGTCCTATGACAGTTGAAGAAATATTTCCGATGTCCCAAGGCAAGCTATTAGTAATCAGCTACCCTGGACCATTTTTTCCTCTTACTTCCTGTCTCCTTCAACTTTGCAGGCATCTGGGCGGTTCTAAGGTGACCAGTGCCAGCTTCCCCTGGGGACCACCCAGCTGTGCGATAGTAGCCAGGGATGAGGACAGTTTGGAAATAGTTTGTCCCTTACGGAGTTGCTTTGTTCTCACTCTCCCTCAACCCTGTACAGCTCACTACAGCCAACTTCAAACCCAGCATTCACAGACACGTGTAAAGCTGACTCCTGACAATAAATGCTATTCTCTGTCATTCTCTGTTCTTCCTCTCTTCCCAACCGCACTCACATGGGATGCTTTAACATCAATTCCAGGTTCCAGTGTTGCCAAAGGAGCAAGGGCTGGTCTTGTGTGGGATCCTCTGCATATGGGCTTTGGTGTTTATATTTGACTCTTATTGTTGAGAGAAAATCTCAACACTCTATGAGTGCTGGCCTATGACTTTTTGAAATCCGCATTCTCTCTGAATGCCCCAGGGACACTTCCTCTTATCCAATCCATCAGACTTCTCATTCCTACTGAGACTCACCCTGTGTTTGAGGCAGCAGGTCCTGGTTGGCTTAAACAATCCGAGGTTGATCCTTCTGAATGTCAAGGTCATTCAAAGCATGGTACACCAAATTAGAGTGTGGAGATGTGGGGGACAGGGCTCTGAGGAGTCATTGAGGGAGTTGCTAGACAGCCTATTGTGCTGAATCTAAAGCAGTGGACTCCTCACTATTGATCTATTGATCACAACCCTGTCAGAAAACACTAAACAGTTAACATGTGACAGGAATATTCTGGAATATTTTTTAAACACTTATGGAAAAATAAATTTTGAATTATATTGGAGTAAGCGAATATTCCCATTTCAGAAACATTTCTATGTCTTAAACCTGACAGTAGAGAGTTTTCTGTTTTCACCCTGCCAATCCTAAAATCTGATCACTGTTTCTCCACACTTTATACACCATGCAGAAAAATGTTTCTCCACACTTTACAGGAAATTTTCAGGAAAATCAGTATTAGAGTCCTCAGCTGGAGATGATACATCCATTTTTTAAAAGAAGGATTTACTCTTATACGTATTTGTTTGTTTATGAAAGTGTATGCCACATGAGTGTGGGGGCCTGCAAAGTCTAGAAGAAGTCATTGGGTCTAAGAGGGTGTTGAGAACCAGACTCTAGTCTTCTAGAAGAGCAGCAAGTGCTCTTAACTGCTGATCCATCTCCAGCCTCAAAGACATTCAATTTTAATTCACTGCTAACTATTCATTTATTAAAACTTCTCTCATTTGGGAAAAATTTAAGCAAAAGGAGCCAAGATTACTAAGAAACTGAAACATTATCACAGTGGAGGTTTTTTTTTTTTTTTTTTTTTTTTTTTTTTTTTTTTTTAACACAGGGGCTTTAGTATTTTCTAATTTTTAATTTTACTGTCAATGAACACTTTTCACATATTGCAGTATAAGCACTTAAGAATGAACAAACCTGGGACAAAGTATGAGACTAAAACTCAAGTCAGTTGACAGAAAAAAAAAAATTGGACCAGTTGGCAAAAAATTGGACCAGGTGGCAATCACATCACATTTTAGGGTTTGCTTTTTTCTTACAAACTACAGAGTTAAAATCTTGACAAGGTCACAGATAGCCTGGTTTCAGTGGTGAGTTAACAAGCTTTCACATTAGACACTTGCTTTCATATAAAATTTTTATGTATTTATATATTGTATGCACATATATATGCATGCATCCAATATCAATTAATGAAAAAGAGGCCATGAATTTGAGAGAGAGAAAAGGGGTTATATGGGAGGATTTTGAGGGATGAAAGGAAAGAAAGAAACGGTATAATCATATTATAATCTCAAAAAGAAAAAGAAAGAGAAATATAAAAGTTTAGGGGAATAGAGCATTGCCAGCAGCCTATCTTCTCCCCTACATAACATGTATATGCAAACCTAAGCCCATAAGAGGACTAATTACCAATATGTCCGTAAGGCAGGCACTTATCATGGCCAGGGTCACCAGCTTTACCAGTCTGGTGTTTCCAGGTGTAACTCAACTCCAGACGAGTCAGCCCTGAGGTGATAAAGCTGTTCCAAGAGCATTCTTAGAGATATTGACATTGATACTGTCTGGGAGCCCCAATAGTAACCATCCTAAACCATCTTCATTGGTTAAGCCGCAGTAACCGTGTATATACAGGAAGAGCAAAATATCCTATTAAATCAACTATTCCATCTCAGGCTATGGCCCTTGACCTTTTCCATAGCATGCCGTCCACTCGTTCTCAGCAATTGTTGGGTTTTGAGTCAGCTCCTAGCAATATATTTCTTCTGGGTTCTTGGTTGAAACTCAACATCATTTCTCAAGGCAAGCTCTATTTCTTCTCCTTGAGATGTGGCTCCTTGTACTCACTCTAAGTCAGGGGCTTTTAAAAATGGGGTGATAGAAAAGGGAACAAAAAGAGAAAAGAAAACCACAAAGAACATGAAGCGTTGCATCGGAACTATAAGCCGGGTCCCCAGCAGGCTACACTCTGTGCGATTTAAGAAACAGCTCCAACTATAGGTTCAGCCCATCTAACTGCAGAAGTATACAATATTGCTCTATTTATTATTATTATCTGGGAAATACTCTTACACAGTTTTTACCTATGTCTTCAGATTGCTCTCTCAGAACTAGAACCCATTCTGCTCCCTGACAGAGAGGCTCACTGCATTGGACCCCATCAAGGCATCTCTTCCCTTTGCCCTCAGCCTGGAGTTCCATTGGGTGTTTATTCTTCTAACTCTTTCACTTAAGGGTCATCTTGGTGTGGCTGATTCCTCACCATGGAAGGCCACTGGCCTACCAAGCAGTGACTTTGATATGACCCTCATTCTATATTTTGGGAACTGCTTGTGATGTCCTGTGATTTTAAATTTCAGTTTGCCCCTGGTTCAGGTCCTTTAGTCCATTGAGGGAGATGACTGTTCTGCCTTCTGGTCTCTCTTCACAGTTTTGAATGATCCGTGTGTTTTCTTATGGTCCCGGTCTTGCTATTGGCCTCTTTATGTGTTTTCAGCAGGTAAAGTAACACAGCTTCACAGAGTTAAAGAAATACAGCATAAAAGAATGTAGCACATCTTAAAATAATATTCTACAGCAAAGAGGTCTCATGACTATAGCATTTTAAGGCATCTTTTTATATGTTAGTAAAAATTCCTAACAAGCAATTGAAATTTTTTTTTTTAAGTTGCGGATGGTTGAAATAAAATAATTCACAAAGACACCGCAGCTTTAAGAAGCACCAAACAGACTAAGCCTGGAGAAGGTTCTGGGCCAGTAGGTGTGGGGGATAAGGGTGAGCCTTTGGAAGTCTAGAAGCAGCTGTTTCAAGTCTCATTTCTTTCTAGCTTTTTGTCAGTTTGGAGTGATTGGATCTTTCTGTTACTCATGATGCTTAATAATTTTTGTGCTAAAAGCACATGTGATTTTTTTTTAACACATATCAATTACTGTTATTCATTGGCTATAGCCTGAAAATATAAATAGTAGTTTATGCTTCTAAGACTGTGCTTGTACATGGCTTGGAGAGTCTAATTACTCTCACATGATCAGTTTTTGGAAGTCAGTTGGCTGGAAATATAGGACATCTGAAAAGCTTTGATAAGGTTTACGGATAACTTTTCAGGATATCAAGCTTATCTGTGTACCCAGCAGCTTCCTGCATGTTGTCGCACATCATCTTTAATACACAGGACATGGTGCACCTTGGGATGAAGCCCAAACTCTGTATTAATCTCATGAACCTTGTTGTGTCTTCTCAATTTCAAGGGTAAGTTTATCCTTAAAATCAGAAAGGTCAAATCAACAAAGCCACCAAAGCTAGGAACAAAGAGCAACAACCCTGTCCCCAACACACAAAGCAGGAAGTGGTGCATTGCCTCAGTTCTGTGAAAAACAGAATCTGTAAACTGGAAGAAAACATAAGAAAGAGAAGGTGTGGGTGGGGAGTTGGGGTATCACGTTTTAAACTTAAATTATTTTTGTTTTCCAGAGGGACAGCAGAATTCAACCAAACAAAGTAAATCAAAACAAAACATAACACCCATTTTCCATAGTGGAAAGGCCCTTCTAAAATAAAGCCAAGAGTCCAGGCTGGACAGGAGTCTTTGTTGTGGACACAAATGTCTCAGTGTCTCTGCTATGGGAAACCTACAGACACTGTAAATAACCAACTAGATTCTGGGTTACAGTGAAGATCAGGAGGGAAAACAGATGCAATGAGGCTATTGTGGATTTTGAAGCTTCTGCTGTTCTCTGTTACAGTCGAGGAATCAGCATCTTTTACAAAGTAATAATTAAGACTGCAGATTAGCCTTGGCCCAGCATCTAGTTGGAACTTGAAGGAACGCCAAAGTCCACACTGGCTTGGAGAAAAGAGTGTCCGTGGAGAACAGTAAGATGATCCCCATGATGAGAAAAGCAACAGGTGAACCAATGGCACTTGGAATAGTGCAAATGTCTGACATCCTGGTCTGGACTGGAATTGCTGGATTTAGGATTCCTAAAGGTAGAAATTTAGAGATCCTGAGTTACTAAAGACCATCTTAGTTCATCTTGTGATCTATGTCCTACCAATTAGTAAGAAGTACTGAGCACAGAGCTAATTCAGGATGAAAAGCTTTTTCCAGGGTGTTCTTTAAAACGAGTATCTCCATCTTCATAAAGACATCAGCTTTATGAACACACTACTATTACTTATAAAGCAGTATTTTACATATAGTATTGTTTATATTATTGCATATTTCATATGCAATGAACCACTGATCTGGCTACCTTTTTGAATCATTCTGAAATTCTATGCTCTTGTAAAGGAGTGATTGAGATGTTATGCTGACTTTCTAATGTTTGCATACCTAGGGAAACAAAAACCTTACAAGGATCCAGCTGCTTCTCAGTTTCCCTTCATACTAAGAAATAGCCCCAAGAAAGAGGAAGGATTACTTAATTCCATTTAGTGGGCTATCACTTTGGTTGAACAGATCTCTAGGCTCTAGGTTACTCACTCTGGTCTCTGTACTGCTGGATGTGTTAATCCCAAAGATTTAGGGAGAAAGACCGCTGACACAAATCATCATGGCCAAATTAACTGAACCAAGCTTTTTTATTCATGCATATAATCTGCCTCTCCCTAAGGTGGGGCTCAAGCGGTCAGCATTGGATATGGGGAAGAATGAGGTATTATTACCTCAGTGGTAGGGGGTTTCCAAATGACAGATTTGGCAGGCAAATAGGCAGGGTTACAGAAGCAGAGCATAAGCAGAACAAGTTAGTCATAACTACCTTCTGAAACAAAGACATGATTGCAAGGTGGTCATAAGGTAGTTATAACAACAGGTAGTCATAAGGTACTCAAAACAACAGGTGGTCATAACAACAGGTAGTCATAACAAACTTCTGAAACAAAGACATGATTACAAGGTGGTCATAAGGTAGTCATAACAACAGGTAGTCATAATAACAGGTGGTCATAATAACCTTCTGAAACAAAGGCATGGTTTCCTAGAACAGGCAGTATAGAACCAGTTGTAGAAGGGGTTACCGGTAGGGCATAGCCTTATTCTTGAGAAATAGATTTAATCATAAGCAGAAATGAACCTAGTTTGTCTTTGCTATAAGATGTCTTTCAAGCCTAAGATGGCAGCAGGCTGGTTCCTCAGGTGCTCCTGCTACAGGCTTTTTCTTGGAGGGTGTGGGAAGACCCTCCTTGTCTACACTGGCCTGGGTTTATTTGAGAAGAAGAGGCTGTGAAAAAAAACCTCTTTCTTTGCTGGAGGCTTAGGTCTCTGGTCAGGAGATGGGATGGCCTTCAACTAGTTCTTCATGATACTTTCTCTATTACAAACTCTTATAAGTTTAAAAAAAATTACATTTCTTTGTTTTACATGTGTGTGTACCCACTCATGCATGCATGTACATGCCACAGCATGTTTGTGGACATCAAGAGGACAGCTTGTGAAAGCTGATCTTTCCTTGTGGAACCTAGGAATTGAATTCAGGTCCTCAGGTTTGGTAGTAATTGCCTTTACTTATTGTGATAGGTCACAAGTGTGAGCCTTTCTAACTCACTGGGCCTGTGTGTGTGTGTGTGTGTGTGTGTGTGTGTGTGTGTGTGTGTGTGTTTATGTTTGAGACAGGGTCTCACTATGTAGCCCTGGCTGGTCTGGAACTCACCATTTAGATCAGGCTGGCCTCAAACTCATAAAGATTCACCTGTTATGGCCTCTTGAGTGCTGAAACTAAAGGAATGCACACTATGCTTGGCTCAGTGGTCTTTAGCTGACCTCAAATGACAGTGTTCCTCATGAATCCCCTTCTTGTTATTCAGCCTTCTCTCCAGTGATCTCTTTCTTGTATGGACTCAACTACTTGTCTGTCTACTTAGACAAATTCTCTTTTCTTGCATGCAAGTCACATCATTTGTGTGCAGACAATCCTTTTGGACTAGGTCTATCACAAGATAGACTCTGTAGGGTATTCTCAACTTGTTCTTATTATGCCTTAAGAAATTGCTTTTCCCAAAGTCTGGCATTTAGACAAAAGCCAGCATTCCCTTGGGGACTTAAGATAGTTCTTTATCTCTAGCAAAAGGAACATATGGTTCCTCTATTAACCCATGCCTGAAGTGCCTATTTAACATATCAAAGCCAATATTGGCTGTCCCAATACCTGTTTACAAAATTCTGTCTCCTCTGTCCCCTACCTTGAAACATATCCCTTCCCCCAGCTTCTCTGAGCCCTATATAACCTCATCCATTTTTGCTGTGTGTCCTCTTGCTCTCTTGGCTTCTTGGTCCTCTTGGTTCCTGGCTGGCTCTGTTCCTGGATCTCTGCTGGTCCCCTCTCTGGTCCTCTTTTCTCTCCTCTCCTCTCTCCTCTCTTGCTCTCCACACCCTCCTCAAACAGCCTGGTTACTCTGCTGGCTCTGTTCAGTCTGGACTCCTCTATATGCCTCTAGCTGTGCTCTACCTCATATCCAAAATGAACTTTCTCTTCAACCCAACGCTAGGGGCAGTCATGTCCTCATTTTTCTTTCATTCAGTTCTCTGCCTCCACCTGCCCTTCATCATTGCTGCCTGGGGTAGGGGGCAGCCTCCAACAGTGCAGGGCTTAAAGTGGATCCACTGAGTCCATGTACTAAGATTTTTTTTTTATCTGAGTGGGTAAGGAAAAAGACACACACTGTCTTGATTTCCTTCAGACTTTTTCTTTATTCTTCTTCTGTATTCTCTGTTCTCTGACTTTATCTTTCCTCTATTGCTATATACCCCAACAAAATCTTTCAGGCAATATAGAAATTACAATGTGGTTACATTCTATTTTTCAAGTGAATGATTATAATGAATACAGGTAAAAAACATGTTTGTCATCTCCCTAATATGATTAAAACAAAGTCATCCCAAGAACCTACATACATTTACATCTAAGTAACTTGTTATAGGTTAACAGGGTGTGAACAAGCAAGGTATTTTTCTCAGCCAGTTCTTTTGCTGGCAGACTGCATATTATGGTTACAAAGAAAGGACTCACTTTTTATTATTTATTTCAAAAGGTAATCTTGTAAAAAAGCTTAGAAGAATCACAAATCTAAACTTTTATATATGAGAAAGAACCAGTCAGCTCTACTTCAAATCCTCAGAGTGCATACCCACTAAACAGTTTTTTATACCAGGAAGCTGAGGGTAGAAATGGGCACAAGGAGTTTATCAGCTGTAGGAGTTCCCTGGTAGAATTTTTTTTGGGTCACTATCATATCATCTGCAAATAGTGAAAGTTTGACTTCTTCCTTTCCAATTTGTATGCCCTTGATCTCCTTTTGTTGTCTTATTGTTCTATCTAGACCATCAAGTACTATATTGAATAAATATGAAGAGAGTAGACAGCCTTGTCTTGTTCCTGATTTTAGTACAATTGCTTTGAGTTTCTCTCCATTTAATTTGATGGTGGCTGTTGGCTTGCTGTAAGTTGCCCTTATTATGTTTAGGAATGTTCCTTGTATTCCTGACTACAACCCACAGAACCAGGGAGGCTACATAGCAGGGGGAACCCTAGGATGACTGTGGCTTATAATAAGTTTTGGTTTTACTCAAACACTGGGCAAGCCTCAGTGAAACATTTCACTATTAAGATAAGAATTTGTACTGTATCAAGCTGATAACAGAAAAAAATAAATAAACAAAAAGATGTTCAAGTAAAGTTGACCTAGGGACAACCGATGTGCCACTTTATTCTCTGGTAACAAACTATGACTATTTTTAGAATTAAAATGTTATGTTCTAATTACATTTCAAAAAAAAAAAAAAAGAAGAAGAAATGGGTACAAGGAATTAATCATTGCCTTTGGTCACGAACTCATCTTAGCAAGAAAGGCACATCAGCTAATAATAACTGGGCTGCTTTGTTTTTGTTCCCTGACTTTAGCGAGTCCTCCACTCAACTATGTGCCTTTCTAAAACTCCAGATTGTCTTCTTGGGTTTTTCAACTCAAAGTTGTTTGACAAAAACATCTTAGTCTAACCTTAAGTTATTTTCAAAGCTTTGTTTCAGCCATGATGCACTGCAAAACTTGTGAACACATCCTCCAACATTAAGATTAGAAGATTTTTAAGCTAGATGGGCTCCTGTGACTCAATTTTCTTTCATAACCATCAACCTAAGCCAAAGTCTATATGGCTCCTCAATAGAAACTCATGTGTTCTAGCTGTGTGACAATTCCTTGTTTTATTTTTTATCCTCTGCAGCCTCTGCTTAATCAGAGGCAGGGGCAACATTTTATCCTTCCTTTACCTATGCTAATTTCTCCACTAAACTAACCTCTATCATAATCCCTTCCTATATTTACTAAAGAGCCTCAGTCATCAAAACCCTATTTAAACTGATACTATTATTGTATAAAGTCATTGCTTCAGTTAAACAGTACAGCTTAGGAGGAAATCATCTTCATAATAGTCCACAGGTAAAAATGCCCCGTCGAATGGGATATTTCCAAGAGATGATCATACTACATTAAGGGTAGTGGGGATCTCCCTACGCCCATTCAGACCATGCCAGATACCTGAGAAAGACTGCAGTGGCAAACATGTGCAGGCACAGCAGAAGTAAAAGACTCTGGGGTCTGGGGTCTTGGGGCCTTGCCTATCTGAGAGTCACCCATCAGACTTTGTTTCCTGGTGGGCCGATGCCCTGAAGTTGATTGCCATCTGCTGCTCATCTAACATGGCCACCTGCCCTTTATGTTCTGTGGGCTAAACTCTGTGCCACTCTTCCTAGCTTAGGATTGCTTAGGAAGATGTGGGATGCCATCTGATTTTTGCCTCCTTCTGTCAAGTCCAAAGGAAACTCCAATTCCCCAAACTCAAGAGGCAGTCCAGAAATGAGCTCAATCTGGACTATAGGAGGATTTCTGGTGGTTAGATCAAAGTCAGAATCCCTCAGGAACTTGTGAAACCAGTTCCCATCTGCCAAAAGGAGTCAGTTCCCTTACCTATGGCAGAAGGGGACATATGGCTCTCCATTGACATATACCTGTGACTACATATTAAAGCCCATCCTAGCAGCTAGACTTCCTCAGTATCACAAGTACACATTATAAATCTTAAAGTCTCCACCCTAGTGTGCTGGCCTCTCACCTCCCATGCTTCCCTCATCCCAGATACCCATTTGTTCTCTTTATAAAGGCAAGAATCCCCCCCCTCCGCCATTGCTATTCTTACTAGGCTTTTTCTTTCTGTTCTCCCACTCCTGCTATTTCCCTGTCTCTTACAGACATCCCTTGCTATGTCCAATGTCCAGTATTCTTGCTATGCTCAGTCTTTTTCTTTGTCTCTCTGTTCTGGACTCTTCCAGATCCCTCTTTCTTATACCTACAGTAAAACTTTTCCCTTAGCCATACCATGGAGTGGTCATGTCCGCAGTTTCTTAACTGCACCTCCTCGTGCATCTTCAGGCTAACATCTCCTTCTAATAGCATCCCCTTCTACCTTCTACTGTAAACCCTGGGCATTTTATTCCTCTATGCTATTGCAATGCATAGTTCATGGTACTTGGAGTTGCCTTCATGTTTTCCACTGATTTTTTTAATGACATTTTATTTATTCTTGTATATATGAGTGTTTGCCTGAATACATGTGCATGTACACCACATTTGTGCAGTGCCCCAGAAGGACAGAAGAAAGCATGCTACCCCCCCTATGCCCCCCCGACTCCTGGGATTGTAATTATAGATAGTTTTGAGCCACGATGTGGGCACTGGGCGTTAAACCTGGGCCCTTTGGAAGAGCAGCAAGGGTTCTTGACTGCTGAGCCATCTCTCTAGACCCATCCTAATTTTTGCTTTTAAAATAGGGTGTCAGGACTAGAGAGATACCTTAGAAATCTGTTCTTATAGAGGACCCCAGATTTCAGACTGTAGTACCCTTATCAGATGGGCCATCTGTAACTCCAGCTCTAAGGGGTACTGACACTCTCTTAGAGATGCGTGGGCATCAGAACATATGACTTTTTCCATATACAGACACATAAACATACACATAAATACAAGGAAATCTTTTCTATTTCATTTAAAAATAATATACAATCAAATTACCTTGAGGGCGACTGAGACAAAGTGTGAAAATGAAGAAGAAAGACAACACTGCCCGGGCCTTCATGTCCTATAGAAATCCTATCAGGGGGTCTGTCAAAGAGAAGCAAAAAGGGCATGCTGAGGATTTTCAATGCATGAAGGAATTAGGAGTTAATATAGCGTCTGACTCCAGGAGATGAAATTATTCTGCTTTTGTGCAAATCATTTCTCTTGTAAACATTAAACCTGATGCTATCAAAGTGCAGCAGCATGGGGATTATTAATATGTCATGGAATAAAAATTAGCTTATGATACAACTTTTCAATTTTCTTTGAAGGCACACACAGTTTTTGCACATAAGCCCTTGACGGGTCCATCACTACATGGACACTAGAATGTCAATTTGAGGGCAGGCCTCGCATCTGGAGCAGTGCACACTTTATGGCAGCTGCTGGAAATGGCTGCCCATGAATACACATTTGGCACTGGTTCCATAATGCTTCTCCAAATAATGGCTTTCTTGTTTATAACGCTTGCTACACATGACACATGTTGCTTTTGCAGTAAATTATACTAAAGCTAATTCATGTGATGATGATATTAATTATGGCTTTAATTATACCTACTACTCATAAAATACAGTCTAAGTGTGCAAGATAGTACAAAATAAAGGTCACCATTAAGACCACAATTTTCAAAGCACTTTGCAACATGTAAGGAAGTGAAAAATATGGACAGCAAAATTCCTGCACACACAATATAGTGAGTGTATATAAGATATATCTGGTTTCCTTTAGGCTGAGATTAGTTTTTATGCTTTCAGAAATAGCTCCTTTAAATGAATGCTTATAATTGTTTTAAATCCTCTAAAAAGAAAACTTATAGGGATCCAGTTTGGAGATGTACTGTTACCAGAATACATTATAAATCTGGGGTGCGATAGGAGAGTTTAGAATGATTAACATTATCCTCAAAAGCAATATCAGATTTTTTTACTTTATTCTTTCAAAATAAAGCTTAATAGGTTAATCATTTATTATTTTGTTTTTACAGTTTAAATATTAGAAAAAACTATTGAAATGATTAAATATATAACCTTAGAAGAGGATCTTCTCAACATGACTGTACATTTTCTATTATAGATATAATTACATAAATACTAGAAATAATTTAAAGCCTCCAATATTAAAATATAACAAATAGAGAAAATGTGTACAGTTTGACAAAGGTATTGCCCTAATAGCTTCTTTCTTTCCCACATAAACCACTAATATTTTTGGTAAAAGGAAAACATGTTGTAAAACAATACTCATTTTCAAAATAATGTCCCCATGTGTATTTATACATATATTTGCAAGTAACAGGTAAGGATAGATCCACATTAATTATTTCTGAAGACTGCAGACAATTTCTAAATTTGTTTTTACTCTAACAGTAGGTCAATATATGAAACACTTTTGCTTCTGTAGGTCACTAAGCAAACCTTAAAATTTAAGCACCCCAAGGAAAAAATTAACAGATTCATGATGTTTAAATGTGGCATCATAACAACTTGTTTCCCTTGTCCCAAATTGGGACACATTACTACCAACTTCCCACTCTCATAATGACTCCAACATTTGGTACCCTCTATGGAAAGTTCTGGCATCCTCCTTTCCAATCTCCAGTTGAGCTGAGGTTCTTATTTCATTTGTAGTCATGATTAGACTAGTTTTTGATATTCCCTAATTATCTGACCACCAGTTCTTCCAACTCACTAACAGATGTGTCTCTGTTCCTCTTTCTTTTGCCACTCTTATCCAAAGCTGTCTGCATCTACACTCTTCTAACTCAAGGAGTATGTCACTACAACCATATCGCTTCTCCACAGCCCCACCATGCTCACTCTCCCGCTACCAAATCATTTCCATAAGAACAAATGATAGGCTTTTCTACATAATAACCCAAATACCACTACAACTTGCTAGAATAAACAAACTCAGTAATGTTGCATGATGAAAACCCACATATGAAACCCTATAACCATTTTATACAGCAACAACATTGCTAAAAAAAACAAAACAAAAAACAAAAAACAAACAAAAAAAGAAAGTAATGTCAGTAACAATATCTCCAGAAAATAAAATGTCTGTAAATAAATGTAAATCAGGAAGTGAAAGACCTGTTCAATAAAAATTGTAACACACTAGTAAGAAACAGTGAAGGCCCCATACACAATTGGGAAGATACTCCATGTTCATGAATTGAAATAATCATTATTGTAAAAGGTCCATATTACACAAAATGATATAAAGATTTAATACATTGTCATCAAAATTCCAAAGTTTCTTCATAGATATAGCAAATAATGTCACCAAAATTCATATTGAACCACAGAATATCTCAAATAGCCCAAGCAACATGGAACACTGCAACTTGATAACTCATATAAAAATATGTTACAACACCATACAACTTCCACCTGCATGATGACAGACATAAGCATCTCAAAAAGTTAATTAAGAAAAATAGCATGCCTTTGACCCAGCAATCCTACTACTGAGGGAGCTGAGGTTGCAACAGTTACGTACTCACATGTTCATTGTAACTATTCCCATAGTTATGGTATCTGTAATACATTTGTCCCTAAATTACAAGAAACAACTAAAGCACGTTCCAAGTTACATAGCTGAAATTCTTGGCAGAGGTTAACAAAACCAAGACTGACTTACCCAGCCATTTCATGTAAATTAGTCCAAATAATTCTACTAGAGCTATGATGACCAAACCTGAAACTAGAAGGGAGCCATGTTTTGGCACACACTCTGTAAAAACAACAAAAAAATTGTATATTATAAATGCATACAAACTGCTTAAAGAAATAAATAATATCAAGTTTTAATGAAAGTAATTATTTGAGATTAAAAATTAATTATATGTGCTGATTATTATTAATTCAGTCAATAAAATGATTCCAAATAGTTTTAAGGAAAAAAGCTCATGTTTTCATAACATATATATCAGGACTAATGTAAAATGCTATCCGCAAATAATTTGAATCTGGTTATTCTTAAAGTTCTTATGTGATTCTAGTCATAATAATTTGGATAGCTAGAAAATACCCACGAGTATATGTAGACAATATTTTTATGCTGGAATTGAAAGCATAAACCCTATTGGAAGAATATGATAGTAAAAGAAAGAATATCTTAAATCAGTAAGTGTTAAGCATGTGAAGAAATATCATTCATTGGTGCTGGTGATGCAAAATGCTCCAGCTATTTTGATATGGACAATTACAAAACTAAATATGCCCTTAGTGTACAATCCAGTATTTACTCAAATGGAATTGATAATGTATATCCATAGAAAAATACATATGTATGTTTATAGAAATTGTATTCATAGTTACAACAAATCTAAAAGCAACCAGAGTATCCTTCATTAGATGAGTGCATTAAAAAATACTGTGTGTCTTCACAAATATTCTGCACTCAAAATAGTGAACTATGAAACCATGAAAAAGCATGGGTGAAAGAAGTCTATATAAAAAGGTTATGTACTGCCTGGGTGGCGGTGGTACATGCCTTTCATCAATATACTGGCAGAGCCAGGCGGATCTCTGTGAGTTTGAGGCCAGCCTGGTCTACAGAGCAAGATCCAAGACAGGCATCAAAATTACATGGAGAAACCCTGTCTTGTAACCACCCCCAAATGTTATATATCATATGTTTCCAAATAAAAGACATTCTTAAAAATGAAAATTGGCCGGGATTTGTGGGGATAGAGAAATAAACAAGAAGGGAACAAGGGATTTTTTTACCAGTGAGGGTAGTTTATATGATAAACACAGTGAGGAATACATCTCATATGTGTTTTCCACAGATGAAGAGGGAAAAATGATGTAATTTGTGGGTGATGGTCTTCAAACAGTGGTTCATCAATTAGAACAAATGTGCTGTCCAGTTGCGGATAGTGTGGAATAGGTGGACATGAAGTGTATATGAAAGTACATGAAGAGTATACGATGTAATTCATAGAAACCCTGTAATGTACATTGAACTTGGTTGTGAACCTAAGGCATCTTTAAAAAGATAGAATTTATGTATAAAGAAAAAGAAAATTAAGATTTCTGTCCAAAAGAAATCTAAATCAAGACTCCAGAAAAACGTGACTCTTACCATTTACAGTAAGATATAGTCCTGCCATAGCGAGTACAAAGCCCGATGCCTGAAGGACTGTAAATATGATCATAGCATGAAGGGTCCTCCCAATAGCTAAGAGAAAGAAAAGGAAAAAGTAGAGGCATGATGAGAAGGATGCTAAAGCAGTAACATCTACTTGTGTTTGGTACAGTCAACAACAAGGTACTATGACCAGACTGGCTTCAGTAAGATTTCAAATGGCAGACATTTTTCCAGTGAGCTCACCTTTTCCAATAAGTGTTGGCTTCAGATTACTTAGCAGACGTTCACCATCATTGTCTTCTGAACAGGATGGAAAGTTTTAACTCCAAACCTAACAATAGTGCTGCTTTGACCGGATTTGTGTATCTTCCATCATGACCAGCTATTATGCCTGACTTCTTTGTATACACACAAAAATTTCTTTGGTGATTACACACATGAGAGCCTCTATTATGCTTTTCCAGGATGTATGCTTTTAAAATGGAAGCTTTTCAGTGTATAGCAATTCAAAAGAGACATTAAGACCCACAAAAGTGACTTTTAAAACAATAATTATTTTGTGTTGGGGGAAGCAGGCATATGTGTGGAGGTCAGAGGACAATTTGTTGGAGTCCTTCCTTTCTTTCCACTATGTAAGTTCTGGAAATTGAACTCAGGTTGACATGCTTGGTGGCAGGCACTTTTACCTGCTGAACTATCTCATTGGCCCAGATGTGACTTTTTAATAACAACAACAAAAATATCTTAGAGGTTTACTTTTAAACTGTAAAAAATAACATTGGTTATATTTTGTATATACATACTACCATCTTAAGATATGTTAAGTTTCTCCAATAACAACAGCAAAACTAAAAGCAAATCAAACCAATCCAAAACAAAATGAAAAAAAAAACCCTCAAAACAACACACACACACATACACACACACACACACACACACACACACACACACACACACACACACACACACAGGCTGTGGAATGTCATTCTGTATGCTGTGAATGTGTGTTGCTCTGATTGGTTGATAAATAAAATGCTGATTGGCCAGTAGCCAAGCAGGAAATATAGGTGGGTTAAGCAGATGAGGAGAATTCTGGGAAGAGGAAGGCTGAGTCAGGAGTTGCCAGCCAGACACAGAGGAAGTAAGATGACAAGGCAGAACTAAGAAAAGGTACCAAGCCACATGGCTAAACACAGATAAGAATTATGAGTTAATTTAAGTGTAAGAGCTAGTCAGTAATAATCCTGAGCTAATGGCTTAGAAGTTATAATTAATATAAGCTTCTGAGTGGTTATTTTATAAGCTGTGGGATTGCATGGGGCTTAGCGGGACCCAGAGAAACCTTCTGACTACATTTGGTGCCCAATGTGGGGCTTGAACCCATGAGATTAAGAGTCTCATGCTCTACCGACTGAGCTAGGGATGTCATTCTGTATGCTGTCAATATGTGTTGCTCTGACTGGTTGATAAATAAAGCTGTTTGGCCAATAGTGAGGCAGAATAAGGTTAGGTGGGGCATTCTAAAGAGAGAGAAAGAGGATGAAAGAGACAGAGTAGAGGAGACACTGCTCTCTCACCGCCACCAGGAGAAGGAAGATGTAAAGATACTGGTAAGCTACAAGCCATGTGGCAAAGTATAGATTTATGGAAATGGGTTAATTTAAGATATAAGAGCTAGCTAGCGAGAAGCCTGCTATGGCCATAGTTTAAAAATAATATACGCCTCTGTGTGTTTACTTGGGTCTGAACGGCTGCAGGACCAGCAGGTGAGGGAGATTTGTCCTGACCATGGGCCAGGCAAGACACAGGAAAACTTCCAGCTACATATACACACAAAACCTGTGTTTAGTGTTCTTGATTTGTAACCTCTTCTTATAGAAATAGTCTTCTTGATGAAAAGCATAGTGGGAGAAATGGTGTACTTATAATCTGCTTATAACTTTACTCTGCTGAAATTTAAAATGCAAAAATAATCTTGAGGTATTGCAGGCCAAGCATTCCTAACACAAACTCCTGAAATCTGATAGTAAAAATTTCCCCATTTTGGAGCATATTGGATGTTGGATCTCCTAAGTGGAGCTGTTCAAACAGCACATTTTATGCAACTATCTCAAACTCTGAAAAACAGAAATTCAAAATACTTCTGGTTTCAAGTATATCAGATGAGGGGTACTTAAGCTGCATATATAAAAACGACTTTTTACAAAATAAAAATGCCTTGAAGACTAAGAAGACTATGGAATTCATCCTTATGGGAAAATGTCATTAAGAATAGCATGGGTTCCCCATGATCTTTTATAAATCTTGCTTTATAATGTGGTATCATTAACCTTCATGTAGCAGAGCCCCTCCCATCTCTGTTATTTACACCTGCCTCTGCTGTGCGTGGTTTAAGATGTCACTGCCCAGTTCTTGGACTTGAAAATTATTCTTCCTCTCTCCCTCTCCACAGTCTCCATGAGGAACCTTAAGGTCCTTGATTTTTAAATCAGTTTGAAAGAATATATTTTATTTTCATTAAAAAATTATTTTCGCCGGGTGGTGGTGGTGCACACCTTTAATCCCAGCACTTGGGAGGCAGAGGCAGGCGGATCTCTGTGAGTTCGAGGCCAGCCTGCTCTACAAAGAGAGTTTCAGGAAAGGCGCAAAGCTACACAGAAAAACCCTGTCTCGAAAAACCAAAATAAATAAATAAATAAATAAATAAATAAATAAATAAATAAATAAAATAAATAAATTATTTTCTAGGGCCAAAAAAAAAAAAAAGAATAGCATGGGAAATATTTTAAATAAACCAAATGCTATGAAAATCAGTTGAAATGAATGGAAAACATCCTCTTTGCTGGCAAATTTCCATAGCGACAGAAGGTGCTATGTAGGTTTCTGAGATACAAAAGTCATCAATGGTTTTGCCAAGTTGGACCCTACATGCTACACAACTGTTATGGGGTAACCACTTTCTGATAGGATTTGAAACTTGCTCAACAGGGGGACATTTCATACCTCTTGTTATAATCCTGGTCAAAAATTGCTGTGGAGTTAATTGGTCTTAGGGTAGAACCTGTTCCTGCTATTTTACTCAATGATCATATTGTCAAATTGCCTTCTAGATATTTATTTTTATACCCACTAGGCCTGTGTTGCTCTCTTCCTTTGTCAGGAAGCTTCTTTCTGCAGTGAGAAACAGTCAGATGTAAACAAGAAACTGAGTATCTGAATCAGGTGTCTTTATCACCTACCACTACCACCAGCTAGGATCACAGAACATTTTGGAAGAGTTGGAAACAATGTTGGAGCCTGGTGATAGGAAGGATTGCCATGAGTTGCTGTCTACTGGACATGATATTGCTATCGCTTTCATGAACTCATAGCTACTCTGGTTACCTCAGCAAGACCAGCAGAAGATCAAGCCAGTCAAAGTTCTGGCATAAATGTTGTTGTTCCTAGGCTCCACCTCTCACTGAGGGGTTATTGGCCACTGATTACTGCTCTGGGGAGGGAGAATCATTGTCTTTTGAGGACATGGCCAATGTTGGGTTTCCTACATGCCAATGGATGGCCTCACATTTATGAACATATGGTTAGCACTAATCGGACCTGGTGTTCTATCAAATTAAAAACATAAAAAGACATGAAGTTGAGATGGGGACATGTTGGTGGGACCTGGGAGCAGTGAGAGGAGGAATTGGAATGGGGATTAAAATGACACTTCATTGCACCTGTGGATGGAAGTCTCCATAATATGAAGTTAATTAAAAATAGAACAGAAGGTTTTCCCCAAAGTTCTGTCTTTTACATGAAAAGGTAGTTAAAATCATGCTAAAACATCAAATGCTTACCTGGCTTGAACTTATAGTACTGAAGAACTATAGGTATCACTGAAGGAGTAACAAACAAAATAAGCCCATAGCTTTTCTTTTTTGAATAATTACCTGTTAACAAACAAAAATTTATTTTTCTGTGTGTTTCTGCTGTTTGGAAAGTTAATGTGCTGAATTTATTAAGTGCATTGCCCTGAATATTGTACTCATAAAGTATGAAATGTTTAAATATTTTCTTCCAAATTTACAGTGAGTCAACATTTTTCAATTACTTCAGGCCAAACTGATGATCTAAATTTTAATGTCAGAGTCTCCTCGCGTGAAAACCTGTATTTGGCATTAGTCTAGCTGCCTTGCATAGTTCCAGATAATAAACTTGCCTTCGCAGTCCATTCATTCAGTATTCAGCCTGTCCCGAAGCCAAATCAAGTGCTCTTTCATATTGGCTACCGATTTCATCACCTCTCCAGGCCCTCACAAGCCCTGGATGCAAACAATCTGTGTTCTAAAGCTCCGCCTGTGCCTCGGTCTCCCTAAGGGATAACAGTGGGGTTCTACAGTCTGCCACCGAGTCCAAGCCTTTGCTCCACTCCCATCGGCTCCCTGCTGTTATTTTTCATTTATACTTCCATCTCTCAGCTGCAAGGACCACTTCAGATAGACACGACTCCCGTGTTTGGGCCCATTTCCACATCCCAGCCAGTAAAGTCTGCCTCCATAGCGGCTTGAATGGTGGTCCTATTTACATCCTTACCTTCCTGTCCCCAAAAACTATGACAAAAGATATAATGCAGTTGAGGATTTAGAAGGGGGACTCTTCAACTGAGTTAAACAAGTGTCTTCAATTTCACTAACACTGCCTTTGTGAGGGAGGAAGAGAACACCAAGAACAAAGAGAACGGGATGAGGCAGATGATGGAAGAGCAGAGAACGGAGCTACTCCGCTATGAGCTAAGGAAGCTGAGCATTGCCTGCAAACACTGAAGTCACAAGAGGCAGGAAGTGGAACACCCCGCCCCCCTCTACGCCCACTAGAGCTTCATGAAGGAACACCATGTTGAGCACACAGCAATTTCAGGCATAAGAGGTCCAGATCCTTGAGAAGTTTTCTGTTCTTTGAGGCCACATCATCTGCCGCAATCTGTCCCAACAGCTCTTGGAATCAATAGGCTCCCCTTTGGATGTCCCTCACATCAGCCATACATACTACAGCCCAGTGCCTGTGCATCTTACCTGGGATAAAAAGAATGGCTCCAAGAATGACAATTATGGTGAGCAGTAGTCCAGAAGTAGATAAAAGAATAATTTTCTTGTTCACAGGGTTGGATTTATATTTTCGTACTTAAAAAAAAAAAAAGACAAAATAATTACAGGAACTTAATCAGAAATGAAGGCATTTCTATAACATGTAAGGTGTACTTTTTTTTCCTTCTGGAGCTGAGGACTGAACCTAGGGCCTTGTGCTTGCTAGGCAAGCACGCTACCACTGAGCTAAATCCCCAACTCCTTATAACATATAAAGTGCAAAGACAAATTGACAATACAGTGAAATTGGATAACCCTTGAATAAAGCTCTTATCAAATTATTCACATCTTTTCATAAGGAATTGATAGATAGGGTCATGGCAATACATATGTATTGCCATGTTGCTATATGTATAGCAATGTGAATATTGCTTTATGTATAGCAATGTGAATGTGAATGTGAAACTTAGTTCTTATTACTTTATAGAGGAAGTTACAATATCTTTCTTAACTGGCATTTTTAAGTTTCTATATTAATCTTTTTCTGTGAAGGTGACTGTGCATGATTACACTAGAACTTTGAGTGGAATCCCTAAATTCCACACAGTAATATCCCCCGGTTATATGGCATTCAAAGTATCTTTAGATATTGTTAGTCATTCCAGACCGACCACACAGCAGTGATTCACACAAGACTCATGGACAGTAACTAGTTAATTAGCAATATAGGAAACAGAAAACCAGGCTCCATTCTGTATAAAATTAGTAAAGCACCTAGAAATTTAGGGAAATTTATTTTGTAAAAGAACACTAAATATTGAGCAAATCACATCCTGATGAAATTCTGATAGAGAAAAATGCCCAAAACTTACAACTAAGATGTTGAAATAAAAGCACACTGCCAGGGTTCAAGAGAATTCATCATAGAATTACTGCTCCTAACACAGGCTTATCCTCATGTGCCTCTGCTCACCCTGAGACGACAGGATTAACAGCATCTTTTACTCTCTGCTGGACTTTTTTTTTTTTTTGCTAAATGTGAAATTAATCACACACACACACACACACACACACACACACACACACACATATGCTTGTCTGCTTGCCTGAGTTTATATGCACTAAATGCATGCAGGAACCCATAAAGGCCAGAAGAGGGTATTTCAATTTCTAGAACTGGAGTTGCAGATGGTTGTGAGCCAGCATGTGGCTTCTGGAAACAGATCTGTAAATGTTCTTCACTGTTGAGCCTTTTCTCACATCCTTTGTCATAAATGCCAATATTTCTGTATGTTCTCTGACCTCTTTCAGCCTTCCCTTAGTGTGAACCTCCCTTGCATTGTCAAGCTTCTATTCTTTTCATAGTTGTGGATCAAATGTGGGTCTCCATTTGTGAAGACCTAGAATAGTGATAACTGTACCTCTCTTCCATGTCATTTCCAGGACTTGGACACACACACACACACACACACACACACACTAAGTGAAAAAAAACTTAAAAATAGATTTATAGAGGAAATAACTGATTGTAACTTAGAGTATTGAACAAAGGTGTTGTGGAAGAGGAAGAACCCCACCCCCCCACACACACCATGCTCTCAGTCAGTCTGCAAGTAAAAGGAAAAATGAAAATTTCCAGAAGGCAATAAAAACAAAATCCTGGACTACAGACTCACAAATTTCATGTAGCGGTTACCCAGGATAAACAGCCAGTCTCTCTGTGCCACCCTGTGCCACTGCCAATTAAGCTGGGAACGGAAGGGAGCATATCAAATTTCTCTGCTGGGAAGAGTAGAAAATTGCACAGCCACTGTTCCAAAATCCAAAGCACTAGGAGCGCAAGACCCATAGAACCACAGAGTCATGTGGATGCCTGGGAGTGCTGGCCTGAACTGGAACTCAGTAGAGCAAGTGATCTTAAGCCCAAACCACCGACACAGGCATCCCAAGTCCTAGTGAGATGACAATTTCGACCTGCAGGAGAAAATACACACTTGGGTCTGGCCACATCAGAAGCTCAAGCGTTGAGATTGACATTAGAGAAAGTTGGAGTGCGTAGAACAAGCTTAAGCCCGGAGATGGCTGGATGACAAGTGTTCAAAGTGCATGCAGAGGGATAGAAAACTCTCAAGGGACAGTAATTCAACCTAAGAGGCAACTTGTCCAAACACCACTGAGACACTGTGCACTGTTCTATCTGGTCAAACAGGTTTGAATCGGAGACATAGGTGGCCAGCTGTCACACCACCAGTGTTAGATCTAAGACAACTCAGAGAGGGGAATAGATATTAACTAATATTATAATAGTTTTGCTTTTTTTTCATGTAGGCATTCGTTTTAAATCTTCATGCTTGCAAGGTGCCTTACGTTTGCTTCCTATTGCTAGAATAAACCCCATGACCACAAGCAACTTGGAAAGGAAAGGGTTTATTTCAGTTATAGCTTATGGTTCATCATGAGGAGAGGTTAAGGCAGGACTTCAAGGCGGTAACTCAAGCAGAGGCCTTGATGGAACGCTGCTTACTGGCTTACTCCTCATGGTTTGATCAGCCTGCTTTCCTAGACAATCCAGGATGAGCTGTCAAAGGGCTACCACCCCCAGTGGGCTGTTCAGTGCCACTTCAATGACAGCCAAGAAAATGTCCCACAGACTTGTTAGCCTCTGTATCTGACAGAGGAACTTTCTCAACTGAGATTTTCTCTTCCCAGGTTATGCTGGGCTATGCAGAGTTGACAAAAACTATCTAACATATATACATATTCATTTTGCTTTAGTTTTTTTTTTTAAAGATTGCTTAGTTGGGTTTTATGATGATTCTGTTTTTGCACCTATTCTATTATATTCTCTCTACTACATTTTTATCTACAACCCATATACTTTGTGTCTCATGCCTCACTCTTTCTTTTTCTTTCTTTCACATACTGTCTTCACATACTTCTTGATTATGACTTTCATTGGTTTTAATAATCTTCAAACTCATCTCCCCTCATCATATCCCAACTCCTTTGCTTGTTGCTTTTGTGTCAATTTGATACAAGCTAGGATCATGTAGGAAGAGGGATCTTTAATTCAGAAAGGGCCTCCATCAGATTGGCTTGTGGGCAAGTCTATGGGGCAATTTTTTAAATTAATGATTAATGTGGGAAGGCCTATCTCTCTGTAGGGAGTGGTCCTGGACTGTATAAGAAAGACTGTATAAGAAAGCCATGGGGAGCAAGCCAGTCAGTAGCACTCCTTCATGGACGCTTCTTCAGTTTATGCCTCTAGGTTCCTGTGTGGAGTTCCTGCCTGACTTTCTTTCATGGTGGACTGTAAGCTATAAGCTGGAATAAACCCTCTCCTTTCAAGTCCCTTTTGGTGAGAATGCCTTTCACAGCAATAAAAAGCAAACTAGGACCCACTTCCTCCTAATAACTTTTCCCTTATCCATTTTTTGCTAGTTTTTATAGTTATTCCAGTCTTACTTATTTTCTATCTAATCTTGTGTCTAGTAATAATATCCTAGCATTCCTCCTCCTACAATCCTGTTCCATAGTCTCTAAAAGTTATTGGAGTTGAAGGAATGGTTGTTTTGAATACTATTAATGTACTTTCTTAGAGAGTTTATTAAAAATTATAGCTGATTCTGCAATTAATATTCTACTTCCAAAGTGGTTGTTGAGACTGCATTTAGTACCCCAAGATTCTGGCTACTAAACTATGTCCTGGGACCAAACTCAACTCCAACAGGACTCAGCTCCACTTGAACACTATAAATACTTCAATACCGAAAAACTATGTGTTATTTTTTTAATTCAGTCAGTGGCCTAATCTAAGATATGTAAGTCCCAATGCAAAAGTACAATCAGCAAGAAAAACCAATGAAAGCACATTTATCTATACTAACATTTGACAATTAGATGTTAAGCCAAAGTTAGTCAAAAGAAATAAAGAAGGCCACTTTGTGTTGATTAAGGGAAATACATCAAGTACATCAAGGAAATACTACAGTTCTAAATTTGAGCTACATATCCACATGCTCGGTTTCATAAAGCAAACACTGCTGGAAAGGACAGATAATAATGGATGATGGCAGTAACCCAGTTTCATCAGTAGACTGGCCATCGTCAAAGAAACATCATACTTAAATGACATTATAGGTCAAATGGACTTATCAGACATCTACAGAATATCCCACTCAAAGACTGTAGAATACTCATTGTTCCCAGGAGCTCAGGTAATGCTCTATAAAATAGACCATATTTTAGGACACAAAGCAACTCTTAGCAAATATAAGAAAATTGAATTCCTTATATTCTATCTAATCACAGTGTAGTAAAACTAGAAATCATCAGCAAGGAGAAATACAGAAGACATAAAAGCTCATGGAGACAATAATCCACAATTGAATAATGAGTAGGCTACTGAGGAAATGGGGAGAAATTCAAAAGTTCTTAGAAATGAATGATAATGAAAACACAATATATTATAACCTGTAGAATACAATGAAAGCCATCCTAAGAGGGAGCCATATAACTATAGAAATCTTAGAGTCAGGAAAATGTAAATAAATAACTAATGGATCACTTGGGGGGTCTTAGGAAAATAAGAACAAACTCAGCCGAAATTAGAAGATGGAAAGAATTTAATGCAATGGAAAATGAAAAACAAAACAAAGAATCATTTGAACAAAGACCTGCTTTTGAAAAAATATTAATTGATATAGCCTTGGACACACTAATGAAAAGAAAGAGAGAAGATGAAATTAGAGATGAAAGGGGAACATTGCAACAGATGCTAATAATTAATTCAGAAGTGTACTATGAAAATCTATATTTCAAAAAAAAATTAGAACCTCAAAGAAATGGATTTCTAGACACACATGACTTACCATGATTAAATCAACAGCATGTAAATGAGAACTAGTGATACAAGGAAAAGGTTTTTAAAATATGTTATAAACAACTTAAACATACCTATAACTAACTGGGGCAAGCCTTTAAACTCAGACCTCTGCAGCCAGAGGCTGATGTTCTCTGAGTTCAAGGACAACCTGCTCTACATAGTATCAGGCCAGGTAGAGAAACACAGAGTTCCCTCTTGAAGTCTAACAGATCTTTAAAGAAATAACATCAGCGCTCCTTGCATTATTTGATTAAGCAGACAGGGAAGGGGAATGCTGAGCTCAGTTTACAGAGCTAGTTTTATCCTGATACCAAACCAGATAAAAGTCAAATTTATAGGTCAATCTCAATGATGAACAAAACTACAGAAGTTTCTCAATAATATATTAGCAAAACAAACTCGAGAACACATCATAGAGAGTCTTCACCATGATCAAATCTCCAGCTCTCCAGGGCTGCAAGTATGGTTTACCAAACCCAAGTCAATCAACAGTGTCAAGGACTGCAACACATGCACATATCAATAGATTCAGAAAAACTTATGACAAAAAACCCAATATCCTTCATGAAAACAGAAAAGACAAAACAAACAAAAAAAGAAGCATACTTCGTCATACTAAAGGCTATTGCGTGTCAAACATATGCCCAACATCATCCTAACTGGAGAACTCAAAGCATTTCCCTTAAAGTTAGCAAAAAGACAGGGGCGGCCACTTTCTCCACTCTTTATTTAGTGTTGATGCATTAGCTAGATTTAGTCTTGAAGTCTTAGCTAGAGAAGAAGGACAAGAGAAAGGAACTATAAGGATTCAGATAAGAAAGAAAGAAATCAAATTTTTCATTTTCAGATGACATAATTCTGTACATACGATAGACTCTACCCCATAGAATATATTTGGAGCAAATAAACACTTTCAACAAAGCCACAAGATGGAAAACCATCATATAAAAATCAGTAGCCTTCATAAATGTCAATAAATAACTTGTTGATAAAGAAATCAGAAAACAAATCCACCAATAGCGGAGTCCTTGAGAATAAACCTAAAGACTATTTGAGAATAAACCTAAAAAGGGAAATGAAAGAGCCCTCCAGTGAAAATATAAAAACGCTGAAGAAAGAAATTAAAGAAATGGCATGATGGAAAGGCCTCTCATGCTCATGAAACAGGAGAATTTATTAATTGCAAAACTGGCAGTCTACAGATTCAATGCAATTCTCACCAAAATTCCAATGATTTTTTTTTTCCCATAGAAGCCGAAAACAATTTAAATTCACAGGAAACACAAAAGACCCCAGACAGTCAAAGAAATCTTGACCAGAAAGAACACTGTTGATTTCTACTTATACTTCAGATCCACTGCGATAAAAATAGAGCGGTAGTTGAATAAAACTGACATGTAGGTGAATGAAATAGAATACAGGATTCAGAAGTAAAAACACACAGCTGCGGCGTCCTGATTTTTGACAGCTATGTCAGAAACATGCATTGGAGAGAGGACTCTACAACCAGTGGTGCCGGGAAAACTGGATATCCAGGTGTAGAAGCATGAAACACAGTCTGTATCTCACATTCAGTACAAAAATTCAGTATGATAGTGTTTGATCAGAGACCACAATATAAAAATCTGGAACTCTGGAACTTTTAAAGGAAAATATTTCAAGACATAGGCATAAGTGAAGGTTTTCTGGATGGAAATCCATTAACTGAGGCAGTAAAACCAAGAATTAAAATACAGGACTGTGTGAAATAGAAATTCTTCCTGCTTAGCAAATGAAATGACCGAGTGAGAAGTCAGTCTACGATGTGGGAGAGAGCCTTTGCTAAATGATATATACAATGTATAAGGAACTCAGTCATGAAACACTAAGAAGTCAAACATCCCAAACACTAAGTGGGCTAATGAAATAAACAGTTCTCAAAAGATGAAATACCATTGGCCAGAGACATACGGCACAATCTTCAACATCTTTAGACAGCAGAGAAATTCAAATGAAATCGACATGGAGATACCGTTTTACCCCAGTTAGAATGGCTGTTACTAAGAAAGCAAGAGGGGAAGCTGGGATGATGTACAGAGGAACACTGCTGGTGTCTCGACAGTTGCCACTGCCAGCCCTTCTTCCTGTCTTTTCCCATTTAGACACAACCTGGGAACGTTTCTGGAGTCACTAAGCATTTCCGGAGCCCCGGGCACTGGGCAAAGCTCTTCAAGATCATGAGGAGGAAAACCACAGAGACAGCTGACTCAAGCTGCTGGGAGCTCATGGACTCTGTCTGCCAGCTGGGGAACATGCATGGGACCGAACTAGGCCCTCTGAATGTGGGTGACAGTTATGTGGCTAGATCTGTTTGGGGAGCCCCTTGCTGTGGGACAAGGACTTGTTCTGGGTGCATGAAATGGCTTTTTGGAACCCATTCCCTACGATAGGATACCTTGGTCAGCCTTGACACGGGCAGAGGGGCTTGGTCCCGCCTCAACTTGGTATGCCAGACTTTATGACTCCCCAAGGGAGGCCTTACTCTCTGAGGAGCGGGTGGCGGGTGAGATGGAGGGAGGTGGTGGGAGGTGGGAGAAGGGGAGAGAGGGTAACTAGGATTGGTATGTAAAATGAAAAAAAAAAACTTTAAAAATAAATAAATAAATAAACAAACAAATAAACAAATAACCTCTTCAAATAAACCACCAGTCATGTCCTGTCTGTTTTTATGTCTCACTGTTTTCATGTCACGCACACAGCCTCGCCCTTCCTAGGAAAGAACGTCATCCACTCACTACCCAGCAGGCCTCCTCTGCAGTGATTCACCAGCGCTCACCTCTCTAAAGGCTGGGGAGCAAATTTAATGAGCGCGGTTTCCTCGCGACCTGGAGAGGTGTTTCCTGGCCTTCAGTGGCTGTGTCAGGGGGCTTAGAGGATGAGCAGAGCTTACATTTTACAAGTTTGAAAGTTTAGTCTGTCAGCTCAGAACTTCAGTGATTTAGCCACTTCCCTTTACCAAATTTCAAATTTGGTAAATACGGTTGGGCATAACCCTCACCCCCAGTTGGAATGCATACAGTCACTTTGTGTCCTTTTCTTATTGCTGTGACCAGATGGCTGACACAAAGCATGGGAGGGAGGGCTCCTTCCGGCTCATGGTTGGAGGGGACACCCCATCCTGTCAGGGAAGGGTGGCTGTGGGAACAGCTCTCAGCGGCTGTGAGTGGAGCATGAGGCCACTTCTTCAGGTCTAGACAGATCAGGAAGCAAAGACTAATCAGCAAGTTGGACTGGCCTGCGAACCTCAATGACCATCTGCTCAAGTTTACTTTGTCCAGGGAAGCCCCACATCCCAAATAAATGTGCCACAACCTACAAAAAATGTCACCTTGACTGGTGACCAAGTATTCAAATACACGAATGAGTCTATGGAGCACATTTCACATTCAAACTATATCACCTTGTGTTGACAATTCTGAACTGTACACACACACACACACACACACACACACACACACACACACACGACACAGCATGGGGTTTGACCCTCAGAGACTTGGCTACATGGATGCCAAAGCAGGATCACAGAGCACAGGTCCCCCTGGCTGCTGCAGGGGATACAGGGCTGCATGATGGCACAAACAGAAAACTGGAGAAACGAAGAGGGGCACCACAGGGCCCCAGAGCATGGGATCCCGTCTTCACACTAATGTAGCCTATGACTATCTGTTCACCAAATAAAATTACATTTGTTAATATGACAGTGATACAGGAGTTTTTAGATGGTCTAAATAGTGTTTACAGTAGTCTCTTTAAAAAGATCTTTTTAAAACACAACAAAACATTATCTTACAAAACCAATAGTAGTGATGTGTCAGGGACAGTATATAATTCATGAAGACAATTACTATTCAAACCATGTACATATTCTCATTCATCAAAACATGACTCTTCCTAATGCAGCTGAATTACACGGTATTTCACTTTAATACTCATAGAAATAACAGTTTTATCATTAAAGTATACATGAAAACTGGAAGTAAACACTTACTTAAAATGCTAAACTGTGCCCAGAAGAAAAGTACAGTCATAAATGGGGAAATAATAATGAGAATATTTTCACTTAAAGGAAACCATGAAGCTGAAGGGAAAGAAAACAAAAATTATAGTTAGTATTTACTGTAATTAAAGAGCATTAACAGTCTCAAATATATTTTTTGTTATACAGATGGAAGATTAAAATAATTAAAAGCTGTAGCCACAGTTTATATACATTTATACACAAAATAAATTTTACATATGATTTGCTCATATAACAACAAATTTTATTTAGGATGTCCAATGCTTTAGTTACTTGAGTGTATCTCCTCAGTTTCCTGACCCCCATTCTGTAGAAGCACAGTACAGATGCTGAGAAAATGCTCTCACCACACATCCAGGCCTGAAAACCTGTTCTGACTCACAATCTGTGTGATAACAGACAGCAGTTGAGCACCTCTGCTTGTCACTGTCCTTAATTGCTTCCAGGAAAGACACTGGCTGTACCTACTCCTTAGCAGATGGCTTTGACTGTTAGGGATAATATGTGTAAAGGGTTGAAGGCAAAGGTTGGATCTTTTTTTTAACTATTGAAAATAGATTCTTTTCTCATACAATATATCCTGAGTATAGTTTTCCCTCCCTCTACTCTTCCCTGTTCCTCCTCCCCTCCTCTTCAGATCCACACCTTTTCTGTCCCTCATTAGAAAAGAACAGACTCCTAAGAGATAGCAACCAGATATGACAAAATAAAATATAATAAGATGGAGCAAAACCTTTCATATCAAATTTGGACATGGAAACCGAACAGGAGGAAAAGAGTCCCAAGATCAGGCAAAAGAGTCAGAGACCCACTCATTCTCATAGTCAGGAGTCCCAAAATAAAATATTAAACTGAAAACTGCAATATATACACAGAAGACCTGGTGCAGACCTATGTTGGTCCTGTGCTTGCTGCTTCAGTCTCTGTGAGCTCATATGTGCCCTGTGTAGTTGATTTAGAAGGCTATGTTCTCCTGGTGTCCTCCATGCCCTCTGGCTCTCACAATTTTCCTGCCTTCTCTCCCACAGGATTCCCTGAGCCCCGAGGGGAGGGATTTGGTGGAGACCTCCAATTTAGATTCTCTCCACATAATGTCAGGTGGTAGCTCTCTACTTCTGCTGAAAGAAAGCCTCTCTGACGATGACAGGGTAAGGTACTGATCTATGAGTATAGCAGAATATCATTAGGAATCATTATGTTGCTTTTTTGTTGTTGTTGTTGTTTTGACAGTTGTGTTTGGTTTTTACCCAAGGTCTTGGGGCCATCTAGTTCTTGGTTACCCAAGCAGTGTTGAATATGGGTTCCTTCTCATGGAGTGGGCCTTAAGTCAAGTCAGACATTAGTTACTGCTCTTGTAAGTTCTGTGCCATCATTGCACTAGCATATTTTTCAGGCAGGACAGATGGTAGGTCATAGGTTCTGTGGCTGGGTTGGTGTCTATGTTTCCCTTTTGATAGCCTGCAGAGTACCTTCTTATACCAAAGAGACTAGAACATAGGGATGAAGGCTCCAAGCAGGCACCAGCTTGACTTCTCCATGTTTAATGAGTTATGTGGATGTTGTCTTCAGCAATGGAGTCCCACTGTCAGTTTGCAGAGAGTAACCCTTTGTCTTAGCATCAGCCTAGGGTGTTTGCAGTGCCTCTTCCTTCTCCCCTCCCCTCTCTCCTCACATGGCCCAGCTCAGCCCGATTATGTTCACTCCAGAGTCTCCCAGATATTCCTGCCTCTGACTATGCTCTCTCTTTCATGTCTACATTAATTTTTTTCTCCTCCACCATACCTAGGAGCAGTCATGTCCTTCCTTTATTATTTCTTTTTTTTCATTAAGTAAGGAAGAGCAAACTATTTACTACTGGAAAGGCAAAGAAATAATATTAAGAGGATGTGGTCTGTGAATAAGTGTTTAATTTTTGCTTCCAAGCCTAAGCATTATTAACACCCAGGACTTTACTTCTTGAACAACAACAACAAAAAGAACAACTTGAAAAGGTAAGGGGATCACCCTAATCAACTGAACATATCTCTGCTTCCCCTGCGTACTTTCGAGTACACACGGGTACTTAAAAACTTCCACTTTATCACTGGGCTACAGCCCAAGCCCCAGTTTAATGAAAAGTAAGAGATTACTAATAACATGTAATGATAAAACAGAACAGTCAAAACACAAGCACTGAGATTCCAGATCAGTTCTTCTGATGACTAGGAAGAGATTATTTGGCTGATAGTAAGTACATGCAGTGTGAGTATCTTAGAAAAATGAATGAATTATGTCCTGGGTAAGATGGAGTTGAATGGTACAAGATTTCATTATAGTACACAGAATGGTGCTCAATTAAAACTTGTGAATTATTTATTTCTGAAATTTGCTACTTGGGTCAGAATTGACAGTGTATACATAAGTAAAGCCATGGATATGAAGCCATGGATATTCAGTGGCTATCATGCTATACTCAGATTTGGTTTGGTTGCTTACAAAGTTCTTTTACAAAAAAAAGCATAGCATAGTAGTTTTGTATCAAGAGAAATCTAGGTTAAAAATCTGGCTATGATGCTGACCATGCCAAAGTATCTTACATCTTTTTTGCTTCCCTGGTGTGTTAAACAGAAATAATAAGATCTGCATCTATGTCCTTAAGGGATTTTATGTTTGTGTGAATATTGTTTTTCCAGGGTCATAGCCCATATCCTAGATTGGCTGCAGACTCACAAACCCCATCCCTGCCTTAGATTCCAGAGTGCTGGCGTTGAGGTCTGCTGCCTGGTTTATCTTAGAGTTGTTGAGAAGAACAAGGGACATAACATACCTCAAACATTTGCTCAAATAAATTTTGTGTCATTCTACTTTTCTTATTTTCACTGTAATGACATCTGTAAAATCAAAAGTGACATCTGTGTCTTCATTGAATCCAGAGTGTCCACCTTAGCATCTCATACATTTTACTCAATAAAGCTTTGTCAAGGGAGAGAGCTTCTATGTATAATTCAATTTTTCCTGTGGTGCACATGATATTCTCAATTTACTGTCAAAAACTGGGGGCCTGATATATTGACATTCTTTTCTCAAGCTAGGAAATGATGAAGAATAGAGAAAGGCGTTACGATACAAGTCCTCTGCTTTCCACAGTGCTACACCATGGACTGGTATGAAAGGCATACAAAACTGTCTTGCGGTATTTCTACAGTCAGTCTTGACACACAAAAGCAACGAGAGATTGCTAGTACTTGCTTTCTAATGAGTGATTTCTACTGCTCATATATGCTTGCATTTAAAACAAAGACAGAAAAAAACCACACCATGCTCAAAATGGCTTTGTCTTGGGCTTTTTCATTGCTGTTATGAAACACCATGACCAAAAGCATCTTGGAGAGAAAAGGGTATATTTCATCTTACATCTTATATCACACTCCCCGATCACCAAGGAAGTCAGGGCAGGAAATCAAGGTAGAAACTTGGAGGCAGGCACTGAAGCAGAGTCCATGGAGGAATGCCGTTTAATAATGGCTTGCTTCTCCTGGCTTGTCCTGTTTGCTTTCATACACCATTTTGGACTACTTGCCCAGGGGTGGCAATGCCCTCAGTGAGCTTGCCTTCGCCACATCAATCATTAATCAGGAAAATGCACTGCAGACTTGTCCACAGAAAAATACTACAGAGGTATTTTATCAATTGAAAGTCTCTCCTCCAAATGACTCTAGCTTGTGTCAAACTGACATAAGACTGACCACAACAGGCCTCTAATGCCAAAAATCTCCTAAGGTTTCAGGATGCATAAATACTGCTCTTGAAACAAATATGTATTGCCCAGCAAAAGTCTTGCACCATTTAACCTTTTATTCAGAGGAGTACTTCAGTGAGTTTTATTTCTAGTCAAAAATGCTTGCAAAATAAAACAATAGACACTCAACTAAAATAAGGATTGTTTATAACACATGTGGATTTTCAGAGAACTTCCAAACACAGTATCTCACTGGATACTCATTTGATTTTGTGGATCACATAAATGCAAGTATCAATTTTAAAGAAGAGGCAAGTTGAACTCTTGAAGTAACTCACCAAGATCATGAATGTGAAGGATATGCTGATGTATAGGATGTTTAAATACTAAGATCTGCTTCCCAATTATAAGCAGAAATGCATTGTCAAATGAAGCCCCCAATCCCAATGTGATAATAGAGATTTTGAAACAGTAAAAAAATACAATGCTAGAAAAGAAAAAAACTAGTTGTTAATATTGAACTGTTCTGTTTCCACCTAGAGCAGAAGTTCTCCAAGCCCTGCCAACTCTCACATTAGCATCATGATTGGAGATTCTAAATGAGCTTAAAAAAGACATTAAGATCAAAGTCCCTTCTATGTGCTTATAGAAATCAGCTGGCACAACAAGAAATAAAGACAAGGAGACTGATTCAACTAGGGCAACTGCTTTACACAGTTCACCAACCCATTTGTGGAGAATCTGGGCACTATTACATAGCCTGAATTCAGTTCAGTTAAGCTGCATCCCTACTTTTCCCATATGTTGGCAAAGGGAAAGAACACTGACAAGAATAAGCAAACCAATTGGCCCACAATTAAAATCACCTGGTTCTCTTTTTTCTCTTGGCACGGGGAACGTGAGTAGGACTTGCCAAGCCTTTGTAAAAATGGGTGGTAACACAAGAAAGCAAAATACCCAAAGGATAAACAATTAGAAAAAAGCCTTGAACTCATTGCTACAGGAAAAAAGCTTCTGAACAGAACACCATTAGCACAGGCATTAAGATCAACAATTAATAAATGGGACCTCGAGACACTGAGAAGCTTCTGCATTGCAAAGGACACTGCCATTTGGACAAAGTAGCAGCCTACAGAATGGGAAAGGATTTTTATGAACTATACATGTGAGAGATTGCTAAGATCCAAAATATATGAAGAACTCAAGAAACAAGACATCAAGATATCAATAACCCAAAAATAGGATACATATCTAAAGAGAATTCTTAATATAGGAATCTCAAATGGCTGAGAAACACTTAAAGAAATGCTCAACATCCTTAGCCATCAGGGAAACGAGAATCAAAACTACTCTGGAATTTCATCTTAGATCTGTCAGAATGGCGAAGGGAAACAAAACAAGAGACAACTTACGCTGGTGAGGATGTGCATGAAAAGGAACACTCTTACATTGCTGGGGGTGGGGCAAATGCATGCAGTTACAATGGAAATTAGTGTGGTAGTTCCTTGGTAAGAATAGGACTCGATCTATCTCAATATCCAGCTATACCACTCTTGGGCTTATGCCCAAAGAGTTCTTCATTCTTCCATAGAGACACTTGCTTAAATATGTTTACTGCAGCTCTATTCATAATAACCAGAAATTAGAAACAACCTAGATTTCCCTCAACAGAAGAATGAATAAAGAAAATGTGGTACATTTAAACAATGAAGTAGTACTCAGCCATAAAAAATACTGATTGAGGTATCCCAGACTCTGAAAGACAAATACAATATGTACTTGCTTGTATGTGGATATTGGCTGTCAAGTAAATGATAACAAATCTATAATTCATAGACCCATAGAGGGTAGGTATAAAGAAAGGGACTAGAGGGAACAGATCTTGTTAGGAAAGGGAGATAGAATAGATAGTTACAGATGAAGAGCTGGAATGGGAATATCATGTGGAAAGGGAAAATGGGATTGTGGGAGGGAAATACAGGGAGAGACAGTTAAAATTAAGGGGCATTTGAAGGGTAGTATGGAAACCTAATGCAGTAGAATATATATATATATATATATATATATATATATATATATATATATATATATATATAGAGAGAGAGAGAGAGAGAGAGAGAGAGAGAGAGAGAGAGAGAGTCTAAATGAAATTGCTCAATAATGGGGGAGACAAGAGTCCTAACTGGCCATTTCTTGTCATCAAATGAAACTTCTGGTACTGGGATTGGATTATACATAATTGAATTGTTGGCCAAAGGGGCTCCATGGGAACCCCTAAACAACCCAGGCTGTTGCCAAGACTACAGGTTGCTGACATTAAGGTCCCGTTGCTGAAGACAATTCCTACACAGCCCATTGAAGATTGAGATGTTGAGCTGGTGCCTACATAGAGCTTTACCTCTATGTGCTATGGTCTTTGGTACAGGAACATAATCTGCGCACTCCCAAAAGAGAAACATAAACACCAAGCCAGCCACAAACCCTTTATCTACAATGGTGTCCTATCTGCAAGATATGCTAGAGCAATGGTGATACGAAGCTTGTAGGGGTAACCAACCAATAACTGATTTGATTTAAGGTCCACTTACAAGAAAGAACCCATACCTAACACCTTTTGGGTGACCAAAAATCTGAGTCTAGATAGCCCAAGGATGTAGGATAAAACAAAACAATACTGGTCTAAGGGGAAAAAAAGATTCCTAATGACATTCTGCTATACTCACAGATCAGTACCTTGTTCAGCCATCATCAAAGAAGCTTCCTCCTGCAGTAGATGGAAACAAAGATAGAGACCCACAGCCAGACATTATGCTGAGAGTGAGAGACCTTAGAATACCCAGCCCTAAGTGGGATGTCTTCATCAAACCCCTCCTCTCAGAGCTCAGGGAACCCTGCAGAGGAAGAGGTGGAGTGTAGGAGCCAGCGGCAATTGAGGAAACCAAGAAAACAAGGCCCTCTGAATCAACCTGAGCAAAGCTCTCAGGAACTCAGAGGCTGAAGCAGCATGTACAGGGGCTGCACAGATCTACAGGAGGTCCTTGGTGTATACATTATGGCTTCCAGGCTAGTGCTTTTATATGATTCTCGACTGACCTAGTGGGTCTCTGATTCTTGTGCCTTCTCTTGGGCTCTTTTCCTTCTGTTTGTCTTGTCCAACTTCAATGTGCTAGATTTGCTTTTAACTTATTACATTTTATTTTGTGATATTTTCAAAAAAAATAAAAGAGAATCTATCCACTAAGTTAATAGCTGTGCTGTCATTTATACCTGCTGGGAAAGGAAAAAATCATTTTTTTCAATAGAGTGACACTGTATATCAACCCAGGACAGGTCTCATGTTCAGAAGCAGTTGGCTACAGTTTGGTGTTTTAATTTTTTCTTTGGGGTGTGGTTTTATTTGTTTTCTTGGTTTTGTTGTATTGGGTTTTTGTTTGTTTTTTGAGAAGGAACTTAAGACTGGGTGGGTGGGTGGGTGGGGAAGAGAGGAGCTAGAAGGACTTAAGAGAGGAAAGGAAGAATATGATCCAAATTTATTTAAATTTAAAAATTGTTTTAAATACTAGAAAGTATAACAAAAGAAAAAAGAAAAGAGAAAAAAAGGAAAAGCTGGGGAAAAAAGGAAAGCATATGAAGGAAAGTGGTTTTGATGGTGGTAAAACAAAATGCAGAGTATGTGAGCCCAGGACCCATTGCCCAAACAGAAGAGTCTTTAGACCAAAATCCTGACAACTACACAGTAAATGCACAGAGTGAATTTCAATGTGAAAAAAGTAAAAGAGGAAATCAGGTAGAAATAATTGTTTTAATGATAAAAAAAATGTTGCATTATTTACTGTCTTCTGTGACAAATTGACTGGAAGAAATGACAAGGGATGGGAGGGTCTTCTTTTGGCTCAGTGTCGGGAAAGGCAGTCGAGGTGATGGAGACTGCAGTGAGCGGTGCTTAGAGCGGGTGGAGGTGGGGCCTTAGAAGGCAGCACACCAGAAGGTAGAGTGCGCGGCCAGAACCAAAGGAGGCACAGCTTTTGAGACCTCCCTTTCTCTTATTAGTTAGACTGCACTTCTGCAACCAACTAAAACGTTCTACCAGCTGGGGGCCAAATGGTCAATCACATGAGCTCTAGGGGTCGTTTCACACTGAACCACCACAGATATTATATCAGTAGTTGGGAGTAGCAGGTGACTATTTTGAAAGTGCAGTGTCTCAGCCCATTTGTCATCTTTCCAGTAAGATCAGTTGTGACAGGACATAGATAAGGGAAGTGTTTATAGAGACACAATTTTCTTACTCTGTTTTCCATTGCTGTAACCGAATACCTGAGACAAGGGAATTTATAACGGAGAGAGTTTATTTTGGTACATGGTTATGGAAATAGAGACAACCACAAGCGTGGCATCGGCATCCTCTTGGCTGCTGAATCATCTTCCCTCCCTCCTCTGCTTTTTTTTTCTCTCTGTGTGTATTTATTTATTTTAGTATTTATTTATGTGTACGCACATGTGTAGAAACAATGGGATAATGTTGTGTGTCTTTCTCACTCAGTTTTCAACTTATTTTTTTTGAGACCAGGTCATTCAGTAAACCTAGAGCCCCCCAAATGGGCTGGACTACCTGGCTACAAGCTCTAGAGCAAGGCCTGTCTCCACCCTTGACTCCTGGACTGGCTCTGGGGATACAGATACATGCTACAGTATCTGGCTTGTGCCGGGGCACTAGAGATCTGAACACAAGTCCTCACATGTGCTGGAGACACCTCTTCGACTGAGCTGCCTTCCCAGCCGGGCATCCACTCGGATTATGATGACAGCACCTGTGGGCGCTCATTTATTACATGACATTACCTCAAAGCGGAAATGGTATATTCTATAGGTACAAAGCATACAGGGGTGAATCTGCTTTATAGTAATCTTCACTGGGGATAACTAATCCGCAAGGTCAATCGAGATTCCAGATGTACAGACCAAGAGACAAACCATATTTAAAGTGTGTCACTTACCGCGGCGGTATTTTAGTTCCACGGTGTGTTTACCTTCTCTTCTTGATTCTCTGACTGTACATGTATAGTTTCCCTCTTTCGCCTCGTTCTTATTCAGCTTCAAAGAAGCGTTTCCTTTTATAAGTGCTAAGGGGGAAATCCACGCACTTTGAAAGTTATCAGTTTTGGAGTATTTGTTTACAGATCCTTCAAAGATGAGAATGACCGTGTTTCCAAATTTCCAATTCAATTTTAACCCTTTGATGTCTTCTGTTTCTATATTGGAAACGTAGCACGGAATGACAACAACCTTGTCACAAGAGCTGACTGTCACAGAATTAATATTTTTAAAGAGTAACTGTGAACCTGGAAAGGGATAATACAAATAATTTCATATAATTCTGTAATTCTGTAGTACCAAATCTGGGATCTATTACAAATACTTAAGTAACAGTGCTGCAATTATTCACGGAAGCAAACAGCATAACAATGGTTGAGACCAGGAAGGTGAAAAACAGTACCAAATATTTTCAAAGGTAACTTTCATGGTGGGAAGAAAAAACTACAAGTTTTCTTCATTCATTCTAAGTGAAGTCATGAATATATCACCATACATTTTAGTAATAAATGCAACAACTATATTGGAACATACAGGTATGGCAATATCTTTGGAGAGTTGGAAGTAATTATTTCTGTCAAGTAATAAATATGTTGCCATCACAATGGGAAAATTTTTAACTGAAAATTACCTAAATACCACATTCAGCTTCAATATGCTTCTAGACAGAACTCCTTAAACTAATGTGAAGTGTATCACTTCCGATACTGCATCTCGGTAACAAGTGGCCAGTTCTATTGTACTTTATAGCAGAGTCTGAGCAATCAGGTCCTGTCTTCCCACTAGGATGAAATAGTTTAAAGAATGTCAAAGAAAAGCATTCTCTGTGCTATTTCCCACTGCAGAAAAGAAAGCAGGAGACATTTTTGTATGTAAGTCTCACAAAGGATTACACACAGTTGACTGGCATTTTCCTACTCTGGCATTTCACTGAATCTACAGAACAATTGGCAAAAGTAGATTACAGGCATTTCTTCCCCCAGTAGACCATTAACTACTCAAAAGGCCAGGAAAGAAGAAACCAGGAGCAATGATGCTGAGTAGGGACCGCCCCTTGGTTCTTCTCAATGGCATAAGCCACTCCTGACTGCCCTACCATATATAAGGCTCACGATTTGACTCAAATGACAAAGATGTGGAGAAGCCAGTTGTCTTCTACATCATTCATTGATCAAGGCTTTCATCTAAATAATTGCTGAACTTCCCCCACCACACATAAAAGTGTTAACAAACACAAAACATTAACTTTGCTAACCCTTAATACTTCCTCCATCTATATAAACTGAAAATAAAATCAAGGGCATAAGATGTTACTCTAAGAGTATAATTATTAATAGATACCCATCGAGTTGAATATAAATGTCAATGAGTTGAATGTAAGGATCTACACTGGAATACAATCTGGACTGTGTTCAAGAAAACTCAAGCACAAGTCCGCTGCCTGGCACTTGCTGGTGTTCAGTGTTGAGCAATTTGCTTTTCTATGGCATGGTTTAATAAGGAGGATTAGAGCAAACAGTGGCTGACCTTTCTAGAATACTGGGAGGAAAATCACAGGAGAAAACAACTAAGAAATTCTCCTTAAATAACATCAGAGGGTGATATTGGAAATCTGGACAGTGTGGCATCTACTGTAATGAGCTGGATCATTCTTCATGCTCTTGGAAATGTGCTAACCTAATTAGCCTTCGGGATATCCATTGCTCACCTTTCCCAGTTCTCTAACTTTTCAGCCACCCAAATATATAGGAAATCCCAGACAAAGCATAGATATCCAACTACATTCTCCAAAACATTCAAGTTGTGAGTTATTTCTTTGGAGAAAAACCCACAAACAAACAAACAAAAAAAAGTGGATAGCATCCAAGGAACAATAGCCAAGGTGAGGTTAACCTCTGACCTCTACACACAGCCATAAGCAGACACAGATATGCATTTGCATAGACACATAAATGAAACCCTGGCATAGTGAGAAGTCCAACAAGTAAGTGCTAAAGTAGGGACAAATGCAAGGTTGTTTTTAAATCTTCTTGGACTTCTGTTTAATCTTTTATTATGAAGTAAAACTTGATAATAGCTGCAAGATTAGGGGAAGGAGTCAATGGCAAGGGCAAGATCTAGGACACAAGGCTGAAGAAGAAGGCGCTGGAGCAGGTCTCCTAGGTGATGGATGTGAAAAGGGGGTAGAGAGTCTGTTATTCCCTTGAGCAAGCGAACAGGGTTCTTCTGGAGCAAGCTGAAGCAGGAGAGTGAGAAGAAGGCTATCTATCATGTCAGGATTGACAGTGTCTGGAGGGCAGCTGGGAATACTAATGCCTCATCATTTTTTTTTTTTTTGGCAGTAGAATTTTAAAAATGTCCTTATAGGAATGGACTAGGCTAGATAACAAGACTGTCAGTTTCATTTCTGTTGCTGTGATAAAATACCCTGGCAAGTCAAGTTAATGGAGGAAAGGTTTATTTTGGCTTTCGGTTTCGGTTTCGGTTTCGGAGGAGGGCAGTCCCTCACGGCAGGGAAGGCACAGAAGTAGGAGCATGAGGCCAGCCAATCCCATTGGATTGACAACCCGGAAACAGGATGCAAACAGGAAGTAGAGGCAGGTTATAAAACCACAAGCCTTCCCCTTGTGATATTTTCCTTCAGTAATATTTCATCATCTAAAGGTTCTCTGGGCTTCCTAAGCAGTTCCTCCAGCTAGGGAGAAAGTGTTCAACACAAGAGACTGTGGGGGGCAGTTCCCAGTCACACAACACACTGTGTCTCTAAAAGAAACCGTCACAGGCAGCTAACAAATGCAGCACTGACATTATTTAAGGCTGCACTTACTAGTTAATCATGCCGGTTCAGAAACTGCTGTTCTTTTAAGCCAAGTTTAATTGGACATACAGGGAAAGAACATGACCATTTGTTCCGTATTCTGTAAACCATTACAGTAGGCTTCAGTTTGTCTTTAATTGGCTAAAGTGGGCATTAGAAGTTACTTTTTTTTTTACAACAGATCACTGAAACTGTAAAGGTTATCAAGACATGGCTCCTGGTCGTCAGTTTCATTATATGAGAAACCAAAGCAAGGTCAGACTTTGGCGCAAATGAGTGTCCAAATCCACAGCATTCTATCTCTGTCTAGATTAGAAACTGAGTCCCCCAGATCCCTCAATGGTAATTACTTGTGTTCTGAGACTATTATCATGTCTTCCTACATGTTCTTTTGAAGCCATGTATTAAATACACACAGAATCCACCTTATATTTTGAAAAACATAATTTCTTATTTTATATTCGATAGAGAACATAGAAGAGCCCAACTGCCTGTGCTGTTTGTATTTTTAGGTTAACAATAAGTACAATAAAATACTACAAATTCTGAACTATGTGACTCAGAAGAATTTAGTCATGTTAATGCTCTAACAAAATGATTACCAGTAGTTACTGATAAAGGCTTTCTAGAGTATGTATCCCTCAACGTTGTATCACAGTGGTTCTTTCTAACACACTTGAAGACAGAACTCTCATCTTAAAATCAGTGCATGGTTTATAATTTTTATACATGAGAAAAGCTTTGACACTAATGGTCTGCATTTGTGACATTTTTATTTCACGTGTAAGTCTGATTCAATGTGAATATGACTGTGTGATAGCTAGCAGAAAGTAGTTATTTTCACTGTAATGATAGCAACAGCAACCAACACTCTGAGGATGCTAACAGAAAATGCTACCTGAACATTAAGCACTTAGATAATAGAGATCTTGATTACTGTGTTTCATCATTGCAGGATATTAGCGAGGAAAGAAAGCAGTCATCAGGACCACAGGGGCATCATGAAAGACAGTGTGCAGTCATCAGTCATTATGGATGGGGTGTCATAATACAACAAAGATATAAGACAATTCTCCAGCAAGGGAACTCTCATTTGGGAATAAACAAAGATGAGCATTGTAACCCATGGCTCACCTGCACAGGCTAGAGTGGCCTCTGGTAAGTTCAAGGAACATAGGAGACATTGAGATTTCATTGGGGAAAGAGCATTTAGGTGAGGTAATCAGTAAGAAAGCTCGGTGGCACTTGTGATAATGCATAAGTGCTGATAAGCACTGCTTGGTGAGCGGGCACAGTTATTACATCAAACCAGCATTAAAATCATAGCTGGCTCTCCCCCACCAGCTGGTAGGCAAAATTAGGTTTAAAGTTACGGAAATCTATATTATTGCATTGGCCTTGGCAATCACTTACTGGAAAAAGTACCTGTGAGTATTCCCGGACTATGGTTACTTGGCTGCATTTTAGTGGTGTTTGATTGAAACGACTTCATTTGGTGTAATGATTTTCACATTTTCCCCCTTAGGTCAAGATTTGTCTTCAAAAGTGTTGCTGACCAACCAGTTTGTGGTTGTGTTTTGATTATCCCTTAGTGTCAAACTGAACCTGGTCTTGTTTGTTCTCGCCTCACATTATAGGAAAAGGATGGCAGCCAATATTATGGGCAAGGCCACATTTGAGCAATGAAGAGGCAGAAGGAAAGGCTGTCTCAGGGCAGGTCGGTGGTGCAGTCAACATAAAATTTTATTTTATTACTCCCACAGGCTGTGAAGGGACTCCCACTTCACGGAACTGAGCTAACATTCTTTTGAAAGAGTGAGTTGGCTTTATAACGATTAGACAGACAACAAGACAAAGTTTGAAGATCATAGTGTAAAGTATAATCTGCAACAATACCAAAAATGCAGACTGGTGATGACTAGGCTACAAACCTAATCTTGAAAGCACTTGGCTATATCCACCATAAACTCTAGGTACACATGGTAAGACCTCTTGGTGCTGTGGGGCTTGGTTTCTGTTTTCCATTCATTTTGGTTTTTTTCTTGAAAGAATTTATTTTTCATGTGCAGCTAACAGAGTTAAGAGTTACAGAAATGTTGCTTTGACTAGCTAATAAGTACTCTGGAGCTCCTAGGCTATCTGAATCTGACACTACCAAGGGGATCTAGGGAAGCTTGTTGGGCTACGGTGGGTTAGATATGGAGTCATCTATATGTCAAATGGTTAGGAATATACCTCTGACTAATGCATTAAGTTAATAACCACAACTCATGAGTGAAAACTCTAACAACTGGGACCTGTAATGATGAATTTACAACTCTGGATACAATTTCTTTGGATATGATAATGCAATGTAAGAGGAGCCAGGCAGTGTTTAGGTGGGATCCAGAAATATCACAAACTGCATTGGACATTTATTTATTTATTTATTTATTTATTTATTTATTTATTTATTTATTTATTTATTTATTTATTTAATTGAGACACTATGCTGCCTAAGTATGTGATCAACTGATACACTCCTCAAAATAAAAACATTCTATCGGGATGTAGCAGATGATTTCATATATGATACCTTATGCATTTGTAAGGAGATATGGCCAGTAACATTGCAACAATGTTAGACTCTTTACTAGATTCTTAGAGATCATCAACAATTTATGGACCAGGGTTGTATGTTTTTGAGCTTTCAAATCTCACATAGAAATCTTAATTTAACCATAAAGTCTTTTTTTATTTTGATTTTTGTGGACTTTAGGTGTAGTTATGGTGAAATAGAGAATCTGAATTTATGGGTCTCAATGCTGAACCCTGTACAAAGGTTCAAGACTATCATTTGAAGTTATAAGTAGATCAGTTATTACATTAATAATATTAATTAAAGTAATAACTGATCTACTTATAAGGTTATGCCGTCATAACTTTATAAGGTAGTATAGGTTATTTGGTAAACTGTGGGTTTCTTTGCATTTTCAATGGATCAGAGGTTTTGGTGATCTAGATTTTGACAAGGTGATAGAAAAATGTGAAGGAAAAGGATTATCTTTCCAAAAAGATAGAAGCATGTAAGAGAGCAACAGATCATGGAGCCCCCATCTCTGTTGAAAAATCTGCGAAGTAGCCCCTACACCTTAGGCTTAAAGAACATTGCAAAAGATGGGGGCGGGGGTTATATGAGCCCGTGGAATAGCAGTAAAGAGGGTCTTTATATATGACAGGGAGTGGCCCCCGAGAAATCGCAAGAACGTGGTCACCTAAACAAGATCTACACAATGACACTACAACTTGCCATCCCAAGGTGAATCAGGGAAATCTCAGAAGGCCCCAATCCTGGATGAAGAGCTGCAGGCATTCACAGCTGCTAAGAGAGGAAGAATTGTTCTTCTCCAGGGATAAGCCTCCTGATAGACTATCCAATGTCCCGAGGTCAGCCCTAACTAACCATATGACACACACATATGAGAAACACTAATGGACTCAGCAGGATGTGTGTATGTGTGTGTGTGTGTTGTGTTGTATTGTATGTTGTGTGTGTGTATATAAGACAATAATAAAAAATAAAAAAAATTGAAGTGGGCAGACACAGTAATTCAAACAGGGAAAAGGTGAGATCTAAATGTGTGAAATGGCCTTTATGAAACCAAGGGCAAATGTAAATTTAATTTACTTAGAAAAAAACTCAGATGTATGAAGTTCATTAACTTTTACATAACTTTAAAACTAAGTTACACGAAAAGCTTGTTTAGAAATGCTTTTCCCATTTACATTTACCTAATTTATTTATTTTTTACCACTCTCCCAAGATCGTCATTTCCAAACTTATTACCAGACAAAGATGGCATTCACTTTAAGATATTCTTTATCTTCAAAAAACTTAAAAGAGAAATCAATGTGCCTGGCACAGAGAAAGCTGCAGACGCTGTTTTGTTCTCTCATCTCAAGCAAATTTGCAATCTTACAATCTTCAGAAACCAACAGAAGTAAGTGAAAATACTCAAGTTCCCCTTAACGCTAGCAACATTGACTATGTGCATGCTTTAACTGAACTAAAGGTATATCAACAATTCTTAAGCCCAGATTCCCATGAAACTAAAAACTAATTTGGACTAACTATTACACTCTGTGATCAGCCACTTGATTTAGGTGACTAATCCTTTATTTTCTTTAGGTCTTTAGAACTCTTTCACATGTTTTTGTGGAAAAAATATCATATAACATGCAAAGAACATAAAGACATATAAATGAATAGCAAAACCCCGTTTTCATTTTAAAATGCAGTCCTGAGTAAAATATAACAGTAGAAAACTTACAAGGAGGTAAACCCAGTCACTTCCACGTAAGAACTGCTATGAGAGCCTAGCCCACAACTTTGGCAGCACAGCCAGACCGTGGTTCAAGTGTGTGTGTGTGTACATTAACTCAAGAAAGACACCTTACTTCATAGAAGTGGGGTGCTGGCATCACCCAACTTCCTAATAGGCCTCATCTTTGAAGTTTCACCACCTCTAAACGTTGGGGGACAATCTTCCATCACATAAACCCTTGGAAGACTAACCACATCCAAACCACAGCAGGAGGCAAAACCCATTAGGAGTCAAAAGACACCAAATCCCAATGCTGCATGTGTGTTTTGACTAACGCTAATGTATTAATAGTTGATGAAATGTGTACAACTTAAACTACCTCTTCCAGATAAACTAGGAAAGTTTCAATGAACAATTCATAATTTATTAAAAGTGGCTATTGAGGTGTTGAGGTCACAAGATGTTCTCTAGATTATTTTTAGTGTTAAGCCATTACCACAAAAATAAAAGTGATCAAACATAACTAGCCTGACAGAAATGAAAATATTTAAAGGGATAATTTGCCCCCCCCAAGTTGGTTATCAGACTATCAAAACAATGGACCCCAAGAAACTGAAATGCCTCCAAAGTCTAACACCGGGAGAAGGAAAAGTCTGATGCTTGTTGCCACCTTGCCTGAGCAGCTCCAGAGCGGCTCCAGAGCTGGCAGTGACGGGGTGGGCTAGAACACACCTCAACTTTGACAGGGATTGTTAAGTTATGCATACTTCCTGCCCTGTACATAAACCTAACCCTCCTGTCAGGACCGCGAAGACAGGTTTGGAACTCAGTATTTATCCTTCTTCCAAATGTGGCCACACGGACTAAATCTTTCTCTGCTTTTCATTATTAATCACTCTCTAATTTAAGTGGCTTCCTGACTGAGGTCTGGCAAGCCAACCTTTTAGGGCTGCCATGGCCCAACGTATGACCTTAAACTTTCTTATCTCCAGTGTCCTTTTTGATAGACTTCACTAAAACCTGCATTTACTTCATTACAAGAGGCCAGGGTCCTCCGACCTTTGTTCTTCAACCCCTTAAGCCATGTGAAGGTAAGGGTGAGGTTCTTTGCATTTGCACCCCACATTTCTCCAAACATGCCCCCCCATCCCCCTCCGCAGCCTAGTTCAAGTTTGCAGAACTGCAGTTACCACTGGGGTGTGTGGACAGGGTGACTCACTCTAGCCCTTCTCTCATCTTGATGAGGGAGGAGGCAGAGGGTGTCCAATCCAGGTGGAGCTCTCTCAGGTCTGCATCTGGGCAGGTGCCATCTGGGATTGGCAGGGAGCAGCCCACAAGTCACGACTGTGAGATCAGAGCCACTCACCGCAGCACAGAGAACTCAATAGGAGCACCGCCACCAAGGGCCACATCCCGCCCTGGCCTGTCATTGTGGAGGTGGTTACTAGCAGAACCTACCCGGAGGGAGCATGCGCACTCTGCAGGCACCAACTGTTAGCCCCTCGCGGGCTTCCGTGAGGCCACCAGTCCATTCTCTTTCTTCCGTCTTACTTAGTTGGCAAATGATTTCATCCTCTGCTCGGGGTGAAGCAAACAAGTAGTCCCACGCGTGGTGAATAGTTTAGAATGGAGTGAATTGCAAAGTTGCAGGAAGGAACAGGTACTGTCGCAGACCGGCCTTAGCAGTGAGTAGAAAGATCCGGGAGCCTCTACCAGCAGTGTTTCAGGGGCCTGGTGCAGCCCTCTATGCGGCGCTTGACTGCAGGTGCTTAGAAAGTGGGTTTTAAAGAGTAGCTCCAAGCCAGAGTGTGGCTGAGCCACTGAAGGCCAAACCCTTCATCTTGAAGCAAAGGTCCTGCTACAGCTCCGTTTAACTTTTGCAGTGAGCAATGAACTGGCCAAAAACCCAGTCCCTAGGAGCTCCTCTGAGGAGTGCACATCTTGCTGCCACCCCCTCCACCCCCACCCCCGTACCCCTCACTTCCCCATCCCCTCTCCCCACCCCGCACCAACGTTGGTTTCTCTCATCTGCTTCAGAAGTTTCATTCTCACAGTACAATCCCACACTAGTTACCTTGGATATGTCTTCCCAAACACTCACTGCAGTAACACCATTCAGAAGCAAAATCATCATTTTCTGGCACCCTGCCTCAGTGTATTGTGTCCTGCATTTGGTTTTTAAAATATATGAGCCTCTTCCTTACAGCATTATCATTTTGTAAAATCAGAAGGAACACTATATTGTTTCTTCAAGATCTTTCACAGAAGTGGGCAAATGGAAGGTGTGGTAGACACTTTTCTGTTGTACTGATAAAATACCCTGAGAAAAGCCCCTTAAAGAAGGGTTTGTTTTAGCGCACGGTCCATGGTGCAGTCCATGATGGTAAGGGAGGTATAGGAGCAGGGGCTGTGCCCCTGTGTCCAGCTGAGCTGGACACTCCTGTCTCTGCTCCTGTCTGCATGTGCTAACCATTTGTCTCTGTGTACTCTCTCCATCATATCCCAGTCATTGGTTTCAGTGCCACCCTAAATATCATATCACCTCATAACCCCTATCCATATACACCTGTCAAGGCCCCATTCCTAAATAACAATCACATTCTAAGGTTCTAGGTGGGCTCTACTTTTTGGGGATTCCATTCAACTCAGTACCATCATCAACGCACATTACTTCCGGACAGAAGCTCATGACTGAGCATTCAGTGTTCCACCTTCTCTTTCCCTCTGCCATGGCAATCAGTCAAACCTTGAGGAACCCTCAGTCTGGATCCTGAAATGGAGGTGAAGCAAAAGTTGAAATCCCCGCTGACATGTGAGAGAAGTACAAGATTGGTTGTTGTTTTCTGTAGTGCTCTCAGTCTGTTGGAAGGAGAGGATTCCCTGATGAGGGCTGGAGACCACATTTGTCTGTGCATATTATGGACAAATATTGATAAACTGTTAAGTGATTATGCTGATTTATTAAACAGATTTGTGGTACCCAGTTCCAATGACTATATCTACAGTTCCAATGACTATATCTACAAGACACTCCCACACATCAGGCTCAAGGAACTCTGTGAAAGAGGAGGCAGAATGATTTTAGGTGACAGAGGATCAGGAACTTTGCCGTGAAATGGTGTCTCCTAGTAACATCTGAAGCTATACCTGTAAAGTCTCACCAGCATGACTGCTCAAACATGAGCTGACCAAGGAGGACACCACCAAACATGCAGAAATGGAAGGGGGAAAGCTCACGAGGCCTCAACCCTATACATAGCACTACAGGAAATAGAATAAAGTGAGGAATGAGAGAGGAAATCCTCCCCAGAGGAGGAGCCCCCAACTGCCCCAACTGGTTGGTCAGTGCCAAATGGTCAGTTCTGAAAACATACATACAAGCAATGTTATATGGACTTAACAGGTTATATTTACATATTTGTGTGTGTGTGTGTGTGTGTGTGTGTGTGTGTGTGTGTGTGTGTGTGAGAGAGAGAGAGAGAGAGAGAGAGAGAAAGAGAGAGAGAGAGAGAATGAGAAAGAGAGAGAGAGCACGCATGCACACGTGCAACAACAGTTGATGGAGCAGAGGCCATGAACTTGAGGCAGAGAGGGATATATAGAAGAGTTTGGAGGGAGTAAAGGGAAGGGAGAAATATTGTACTTAAAATACAATCTCAAAATTAACAAAAAAGACCCTAAAATATAAGAAAAGAAATAAACATGTTATCGTTCCTGATACTATGAGCAGTGTTCAACCACAGTCTTGCGTTTCATAGATGGTCCCTGGCTGCATGTAACTCCACTTTCTCACACACAACATCTTCAAACAATTCCAAACTACTCTTCACTGTCCAGGTTCCTCTCAGTCATAACCCTTGGCAGCTTTTTAGATCACTCTAGCTCCTCTTCAGGGCTAAGATACAGAAGGAATCCAATCTTTATGACCGCTTTTGGTATCCTTAGAGGGTCAAGCTCTCCAGGACAAGCACCATGAATGCTCTTTGGAATTGGCTGCAGAGTAGCTGTCTGCAATTCCACCTTGTAGTGATACAATTTCATGAAAATATCTTTTTCATTCAAAGAGACTGAACTTTTTCTGGGCCCACAGACAAGTTAGTAATATACCTTGGGATCATTTAAGACAGTGCACTTAATCAACTATTACTGTGTACTCAGTCTGTTTATGCCTTTAAGAGAATAAAACCAACTTCACTCCTCATTGATTTCCCATGCAATCAGATTTTACAACTTAAGCTCATGCATAGCTTTAATCATAAATTATGCACTCTTTTATGGCATATGTGTGTGTTGTGGTAATCTGCTGAAAGCAGCCAACAGTTTGGAAACAACTGTGTACAACAAATATTCACCATAGGTATTGGAAACAATATACAGATAGATATAGCTTGATAGTATCTATTTGCTATTCCAGAACAGTTGGGGCCAGGTAAGTAACTTTTTTTTACCTGTAAAACTGTTAAAGATTTCTGTAAAGAATCCCTCATTCTTTTCTCATGCTACGACTTCTGCACTGTTCAATAAATATACTGCAAAGCCCTCTCTAGGGACAACATTCATACAGGCAACAGCAAAGACAGGCAGACACAGTCATGGATAGGCCCCAAACCACAAAGTGTAGACAGACAGAAGATTTAGGGAGAGAAGTGGAGAACTCAAATTTGCACTTGCTTTTGGTCAAACTACTCCAAGAGGAAGTACTTCACTTTCATCCCTTAATTTGACACTGATATATTTTGGTGCCTCTGAGGTCTTCCACAATGCATTACCTGACACGTGAATAGACAGTCATGTTTCATCTCAACAGCCATAACCATAAAGCCTACTAGGACTCTGTTCCCTGTCTACATAACAGTTCTTTGGGTGTGCCTTTCCTATCCTGCTGTATTCATTTGTACATAAATATTGGAAAACTGCACCTCATGAAGATCACTATCCTATGATGTCTTTGGATGTCTACCGATCCTCTCAATAACTCTGGACCAATGGCTTTGGGTGTGGGCCAGGGCACACCGATTCATCATTTGGTCACTGCAAAAGTAACGTGGATGAATTATAACCACACTGCCAGATGATACTCCTACATATCTGGAATCAGGAGAAAGGTTGGTGGCTTTAATCCCTCTTGTTTGTATTGAATAGCAACATGGGCTTGACAACCTCACATGCAATTGCTAATGCAGGAGCTGAAATTTCTTCCTCTGCCCCCCAACCACAGATCACCATACTACAGTGGTACAAAGAGCAAGTTAAGACACAACTTGATTTGAGAGGTGGTTCTCAAGCATGGCACCTAGACCAGTGGTAGCCTGGGCACATGGGAGCCCTTAGAGAGGCAGTCTACCAACCTCTATCAGTTGCACTTAGGCTGATGCCATCCTTATTGATTCTCACAGCTTAAGTAACTTGAAAATATTTGTGTGAACCCAATCTTGTCTTAAAAATTTCCCCTTCAACTTTCCTTGAAAATGTTCAGATTCTGAAATGTGAGTATTTAAATTGCAATGCTATGCTATTCCCAGATAAACCTAATTAATCATTAGGGAATCTTTCTCTGGATGTTATTAGGGTTAATAATGCCCATTTTTTCCAGATGGTGGCTTTAAAGAGGCTTCATGGGACTATATAGAGCAGGGGAGAAATAAGTCATACTGTGTCACTGTAACTCAAGAAAAATATTTGATCATTATCATCAACCATAGGGGCTAGAGCACCTGGAACATGTTAGAGTTTATTACCATCAAGCCCTTGTCCTCATCTGCCCTCAGAAGGCTAGCAGCATCCCATTCATTCTGAGCACTGCATCTTACACATGGAATAGGCTACTGATGATTAATTGCTGATAAATTGCTCTTCATCAGTGGTCTCTTAATTTTGGCTGATGGTACGAGATTGTTTGATGGGGCTGTTTCCTTCTACAGCACAGAGTCTATGACCAAGGGATATTGGGAAGTAATTTCCAAGTAAAAAATTCATACTTCAAAATCTTTTTCTTCTTTCCACTCTCAAAATCCTTGTGGTACTTGGATAATGGTGTGAAATTAGAGTCCATGGAATTCACTTGTGATTAGGATTTCAATACATCTCTACTCACCCACAGTCTGCTTCTCTGGGGGAACGGCATCTCATGCTTATCCAGTTTCCCTTCTTTCCCCAAGCAATGCTTTCAGACAGAGATATTATGAATGAAATCCCTGATTCTTAGATTGTGGGTCACAATCTCAAAGCAGGTCATGTAATTGAATGTGGGGTTGCAAAACAAGACAAAATAAAACAAGAAAAAAAGGTCAACACTAAAAGGTTCCTGATATGCAGCAACCAAAACTTAGTTCAAAATCCAACCTGTAATGAATCCATGTGTGTCTGGCAGCCCTCACCTATGTGGCATCAGGTGACTTCATTGAAGCCTTGGTTAAGAACACATAAAATGGGTTGGGGATTTAGCTCAGTGGTAGAGTG